ACACTGGACCATTTACAAGTCACACTGGACCCTTTACAAGTCACACTGGGCCATTTTCAGGTCACACTGGACCATTTTCAAGTCACACTGGAACATTTACAAGTCACACTGGACCCTTTACAAGTCACACTAGGCCATTTTCAGGTCACACTGGACCATTTACAAGTCACATTGGACCATTTACAAGTCACATGTTGTCATAAGCTTGTCTCTCCTGTGTGCATTATTTGTGTACTGTTCCAGTGTTGGTATTGTGCCTTTTTGTTCTCCAACTGTTGTTTAAATGTTAGCACACCCCTGACACCTACTGTGAGCTCTGTGAATCAAGTAATCTTCAAGAGGCTAATTATCATGCAATAAGAATTTTAATATATATACATATGCTAAAAGATTGTAAAATATGCATCCTAAAATTATGTCTCTGTATTTCTTGGCAGAGAAAACAAATCAACCAATGAATTTAAGAGATTCTAAAGGTATAACTAGCAGGCTATCACACTAAATAAAAATTTACTAGGTTTGGTAAATTGCTAAAAATTATTTGAATAAAAAAAGTTGATTAATGCTCCACATGTAAGATAAGCTACAATTTAACTTGTATTTTTATTAGAAAATAAAATAAACACAATATTAATCACTTCTAATTTCTCTGCACATTTATTTTGTAGACATTCTTAATTAATCCTGACTTTTAGGAATTCTAATCATCCAACTATATCAAAATAAACAGCTTGTAAAAGTTTTCAGAGGCACAGAAAACCTGTACAAGAATGGAAGAACACAGGATGGCTGGTACTGGTGGGAAGGGGGAGAGGGATACACAGAGGCCACCCGAGGCCCTTGCCTTATCAACTTGCCAGTCAAGAGCTGTGACTCGACCCCTGCGACCACAAATAGTTTGGTACAAGTGGAGCTCAGGAAGGGGGGAGGGAGTTCCTGTGATACTGTATTCATGGTTCTTCAAGGGCAAATTAGTGCTCCGTGATAACAGTCTTCTTTATCATACCAGTGATGGAGGTAATATTGTGGAAGCAGGTAAGAGCAGCAAAGAAGAGTGGGAGAAAGCAAGAAAGGAGAATGGTAAGGTGTGAGAGGAAGTGATAATTGTAATGGGTGGTGTGCAAGACAAATGGGAGAGGGGATGGGGAAATGGGAGCTAATTTTTAAGGCTGTTTGATTATTTTCTTTCCCCCTACCCTTAGGTAAGAAGACAAGAAATAATTAGAATATTCAAGTCATACTGTAGGATTCTCCTCAGCATAGATCAATAAGCAGAAACATTGTAAAAATTTAAATTTATGAATAAAACCTCACATAAACAACCTGCACAGAGGAGAGAGAAGCTTAAGATGATGTTTGGTCTGACATGGACCAAATACAAAGTCACCAATGGTCCAAGTCGGACTCAAATATTGCCATAAGGTTCTCTCTCCCATGTGGGTTATCTGTGTATTGTTCCAGTCACAGTATTGTGCCTTTTTGTTCTTTCTAAATAAAGCCTCACTTGGATCTCAGACTTACACCCATCACCACCCTTGTCAAACACTTCCACTCACAAAATCAAACTGTAGTTGATAATCTAAATAAAACAAGTAACAAGTTTGTTATCTTCATGGGGACATGGAAAAAAATCCTTCCTCAGTGAGCCATGTGTGTTGTAAGAGGCAACTAAAATAAAAAAACTTTCGTTTTTTCTTTTTCAGGTGACCCTGCTTTTGGTGGGAGATGGCCACTGCAAAAAAAAAAAAAAAAAAAAAAAACTTGTCACTGTTAACCCTTTGACTGTTTCTGATGTATATATACATCTTACAAGCCAGTGTTTTTGACATATTTCTACTCCAAAATTCTAGTGGCTTCAAACTAAGGTGGAGAAAGCTGGTAGGCCCACATGTGAGAGAATGAGTCTGTGTGGTCAGTGTGCACAGTATAAAAAAATCCTGCAGCATGCAGTGCTGCAATGTTTTTGGATTAAAATGCCGACTTTGAGGTGTATTATTTTCGTATAGTATTTATGGTTGTATTCTCGTTTTCTTGGTCTCATTTGATAGAATGAAAGATGTGTTACAGAAATAGACATGATTTTGATTGGTTTCACGATGAAAAGGACCTTGAAATTGAGCTCAAAGTAGCAGAAATGTTCAATTTTTGCGGATGTTCAAGAGTCAACAAATGACGTCATTGTCCAATAAGTGTCCAACTAGCCATTCTAATACACAGTCATGAATAGGCTGACATTATTTATAATTATTACAATAATGCAGCAGTCTGCATAACAGTAAATCTTCTATTTTTTGTGTGAATAAAAATTCAAAACAGACAGCAAGAGTAATATAAGAGGGACCTGGAGACGTGACTGATGAACAGAGAAAATGTTATTTTAGTGCCAGGAATGTCTGCACTGTTCATTCTATATCCTATTTTGAAACTGGCATCTTTTATAATTTGTGTGAAATTGGAAAAAATTGCCAATTTCTGACCACTTTATTGGGCAGTTGAAATCGGTAAATGGGTGGTTTCTTGTACTCAATAGATAGAACAAATGGAGTTGTGAAGAAATAGCTATGAGTCTGGTCGACTGGAACAATGAAATTGGCAGAAAATCAGGCTCAAAGTGGGCAAAATCGTCGATGCATAAATATCGCCGAGATCGCTAACTTTGCGAGAGCGTAATTCCTTAAGTTTTCAATCAAATTTCATACTTTTGGTGTCATTACCACTGGGAAAAGATTCTCTATCATTTCATGAATTTTTTTTTTTTTTTTTTAAATTCTTCGACACTGAGAGCAAGTTTGTAAGCAAGGGTCTCGACAGTCAAAGGGTTAATACTCTTATACTGTATTATATTCATTGAGAAGCACTAAATTTGAAATGGTTATACAGTGTCTAAAATATGGGAGGTTTAATGTGATCTAAGGGGAGGGCAGCTCCAATTACTTGGAACAAGTCTTTCACCAACCTTAAACCACCAACTTGAAGGGAATACAGTGGAACCTCAGTACTCGAACTCATTTCATTCCAGAAGGCTGTTCGAGTGCCGATCCGTTCGAGTGTCAAACGAGTTCTTCCCAACCAATTTTCTTTTTGGTTGCCTGTTATCACTAATCTTCGTAGGCCCCATGGCCTGGTGATAAGAGGTGAAGTTCTGGAAGGTCATGTTTGTTTGGTCGAGTGCCAAACTTTGTTCGAGTATTGAAGTTCCACTGTAACTTGCAAGTACTGTGGATTTGGTATATACTGTACTGGAGAAACAGGCAGGACTAGGTTAAATGAGCATAAAAGTGCGAGATATGCTCAAATAAACTTTGTGATATATTTAAACATGTCCATGGTAGAAATTACTATACTGACTGGATCAGAGCTGAAATAATCCAACACACAAATTGCAACTGCATAAGAAAAATAACTATCTGCTATGAAAAAATGTGAAGACCTAAGACCATTTATTAGGAAGATGATGCATACAATTTTTTTGTAGGAGGATGCAAGAATTAGGTCAGGTCATGTGACGTAATCTCAATATCATATAAATTCTACCAAAGCTGCTTTTTATCTAGGCTGAGGAGGATCCTAGAGGGTTCAAAAATGTTCACTTTTATTTCTTGCTAATATTTGATTTATAGGTTCCCAAGTTATTTACAAATGTGACATTACACTTACATATACAGTATACATATACATGTATATACTTAAATACGTATAGTATGTATGTGTGTATATCTTCTTCTTTCAACAAACCGGCTGTATCCCACCGAAGCAGGGTGGCCCAAAAAGAAATACAAAAGTTTCTCTTTTTAACTTTAGTAATGTATACATATAAATATGTATATACATATATACATACATATAAAAATGGAAACAGTCAAAGGATGAGATGATGTGGGGTGGTCAGGAGGATATAAAAGAAGAAGTGAGAGAAAAGACGATAGTAAAATAAAAGGCACTAGGGTATCTGGTAACTTAGGGAACACTAACAATGAACAAGCGAAGAGAAAGGCCAAGTGGCAGAGAAGAAAGTGGATAAAACCAAACACTTGTTGCCACCCTTTAGCAGTTGTTAGTGGGTGGATGTAATGCATGTGTGGTGGAGGAGGGAGAGTAGCATTAAAAGCATGCATGCAGCAATGCTGTACAAGTGGAGTTAGTAACTCACACAGCCTTATATTACCACACAAGGTTCCCACTACGCCCATGTATTACCGTCTACCCTGTAAGAGAAGAATATTAGCTTAAGTGTGATGATGGATATATTCCGTAGGTTGCAGGTCAACATTAATCCCACAAGTAATGGCTGACTGTCCATCCATGTTGGTTCTAAGTAGCTCAGGAAGAGACATTGATGTGTGACATGTTGTACAATGGACATGCAGGCACACGCACACGTAAACAGCCCCGTACAAATGCAAGAAGTGTTGCTAACTACACCATGGCAACCAGGACACCTCCTGTGACATATATATAAAGCAGCTGCCCGAGTACCTCTACACACTCATATATCTCTTTTCAATAAACATAAAGCAGTGATTTAAATTTGAAATGAAAATCCTCTAAGCAAACAACACACATCCTGAGGAAATGATAATAGTGGCATTGTGCATTTCTCTGTGGATTACTTTGCCACATATGTTGGAAGAAGAGATGGCAATGCTTAGAATGCAGCAACGCAGAACAAAAAAAAGCAGATGGCAATGCTTAGAATGTGGCAACGCAGAGCACACAAAAAAAGCAGTAAGTGGTGAAGGATTTGTTGGAAAGCTAGCAAATCTGGCTGCATGAATTTGGATGGTCTTACATGAAGGTGCCACTGGAGAATGACAGATGGAGGAGGAGGTAGCAGGTAAAAAAGCTGCAGATAGATAATCAATGATTCTGGTGAAGTTGACAATGGCTAACAGATAAAGCTATGATTGGCAGGTATGAACAAGAATGAATGAAAAGGAATAGCAGGTGCTGGCAGAGCTGGATGAGAGCAATGGGCCATGATGAGTGGTTAAGGCTGCTACCTTCGGTTTCGGGTGTGAGGATAACAGCTGTGCACTTGGGGACACGGTAAGGCAGGTCACAGGAGCCTTGCTCGTTGTTCCACACCAACCCACCAGTACAGTGGCCCACTGTGAGGTAGCCCTTACTACATCGAACCATTGCGGTACACTGGGGCCCTGTGAATGCCTGGCCTTCATTCTTGCAGGGCATTCTAGCCCTATAGTCCAGCAGGGAATCATCTGGATTGCGTATGGACACAGAACCTGTGGGTCACAACACTTACGGGGACACAATCAGGCAGCAATGAGCCTCCTGGCAGCTCTGTACTTCCTTCTTAAGCCACATGAGGATTTTCACTGTCACATGGCGCATACAAATGACAACGTTGGCAAACACAACACACACAATACACTAACACACATGCCTATATGACTGTACCTGCTCTTAGGTCTTCCTAGTAATCTGTGCTAGCACACCTAGTTACCATGCACTAGAGGGTCATGCAGCCACACCAAGGAACACGTAAGGTAGATCAACTAACATGCTACTCACATGCATGAATGCAGTGTTAATATCATTTCAATTAACTATATACGTGCCATTACACGTTCATCCTAGATCATTTACAACAAGACATGAAAAGTCTAGTTGTGCACTCTCCCTCTTTTTCTCTCTCTCAAGGTAAAAACATTTCTGTATTGTGACTATTACTCTCATTATGCTTAACTTGTATGGATTTGCAAAAATATATATTTTAAATATGCCATGGAGAAGAACTAGGCTTGTAGTACCCCACCTGAAGTATCTAGTCTATCATAAAAGGAATTGAAGTTTAAAGTGGTTGTAACACTGAATACTGGCAACTGGATTTCACAGCAAGTGCTGTTTCAAATTCAATTAACATATATTCACTCATATTTGTGGGGTATATTTATTTAGTGGAATCAGTAATAAGAATGGAAATCTTCAGCTTAACAAAAGGCAAAGCTAATTATTTATGCCAAACTGTGCACTTAATTATATGTTTTTTTCTAACAGTGTGAAGAACAACCCCCTACAGCAGTACAATAAAAAGTAATAAAACAAGCATCAAGTTCTTGAAAAATATCACATATTTTTAACTTTTACATAATATATATATGTATATACCAGTTTATGATTGGATTACATGCAACTCATCAAACCTTTTTTTCATTAGCGCCTTAATGGCAATATTTAATTCGCACATTTAATTATTAAGGGGTTAAATATTAGTTTTGGTGTGAGATCAAATTTAAACTTTTAATTTTATATACATTATAATTTTTAAAGTGCATGTCAATCAAGTTAGGGGAGAAGTTTAATTGTTAAAAGAAAATTTCATATACAGTGCTATTATCATTGTATTTTATAATAAAGTCATGTGTGTATGTACATATGCTTATCCTACATGTATATTGGTTACCCTGATTGAGTGGCAGTCAAGAAATACAATACTAATATAACAGATGTGATGTAATACACAGTACCCTAACCCACTGTGTGTATGTGAATGTTGTGATATCTACAGCAAGGAAGTTCCAACCCACTATGCATATGTGAATGTTGTGATACCTACAGTAAGGAAGTTCCAACCCACTGTATGTGAATGTTGCAATACCTACTGCAAGGAAGTTCCAACCCACTGTGTGTATGTGAATGTTGTGATACCTACTACAAGGGAGTTAGAAAATCTTTAACTAATATTAACTCATGCTTTCACCCTGATGAAAATTAACTGAGGAACTTGCAGTCACAGAAGGAATTTACTGTTTCTGTACATAGTGAAATTTTGCAATGATATTCCTTAAGAAAGCACTGATTAAACCCTTATTTTCTTGCTGGTAGGTGAATGCCTTCATACCTACCATTTGCTATACTATGAACCCCTACATAACTAAATATGTATAGATTTCTCATATCAATGTAACTTATATGTGGATATTTTGTTGAAAATGATTTTATGTGGATGTATTTCATACTTAAATTAAGATGTACAGTAAGTATATAATATCCTAATATTTACATTAACTGTGTAATCAACTACTGCTAATTTATTTTGTAAAGAGTTAATTATTACTTGCTTACCTATCAAAATTTTGGGACTCAGTCTGAGGCCCCATTATGTATCTTTGTAATATATTGACTACTGCCTACACCATACACAATAACATTAACTAGAATATCTTTAAATTGTACTGTTAAAATATGAGAAGACCTGAAATTAATTATTTATTCTACTGGTACTGTATTTTTGAAATATAGCTATAAATGAAGAAAACAATTACTCACTGGTGCACTTTGCCATATGAGGCCAGTCACAGATCTTGTGCTTTTTGTTCCAGTGAAGGCCACTGGGACAGGGCAGCTTGACCCAGGCCTTGTTGATGCACTGTAGGAAGCTGCTGCAGTCACTGGCCAAGCCTTTAGTAGTACCCTCACTACATCCACTTCCTGAAGAATCCTCTTCAACCACTGAAGTAATTTCCTCAGAAGAACCATGTGGAGGCTGAATGGAGATGGAAGAGACAGTGTGAAGAGGAGTAGTAGTCGATGATGAAAGGTGGGTGGAACGAGTTGATTGCCACCAAGGTCTTTTGGTGGTGGTTTTTGGTCTCCAGGTTGTGGTGGGCTGAGGTGACCACCATGATCTTGTGGTGGTCGCAACAGTAGGGGCAGGCGTCCACCACCAGGTGGCCGTGGTGGGGGTGGTCCTGGCTGATGTGGTGGATGTTGTGGTGGTGGGGATAGTAGGTGGGGTAATTTTTGGGGTGCTAGGCCGGATAGATTCTTGGGGTCCACCTATAAGATAAAACAAAGATGTGTCACTTGTATATGCTTGATGAGTTCCCTCACATAATTATCTAGAGGCCAGCAAAACTTACAGCAGAGACAAAGCTTTAAAAATAGTGTTGAATACCAGATATAAGCCTCTACCCACAGCTAGACTGGTCAGATACAGGCCTGAAATTTGTGGACAGAGGATCAAGCCACCACTTCTTGTCCTAATTGATCCACATAGGTTTAACACTTCATGAAATACAATACAAGCAGATACAAGGCTGCAAATGTATAAGACCTCAGATACAAAGCTAACTAAAGGTATGTTAGCAGCAGATACAAGGCAGTAAAAGATCTGCAGCAGGAGATAAAAGTTTGGCATGAATGCAGCATCCAATATTTTATGTCTGTATACAAGCAGCAGCAGACATGAGTTTTTGGAAATTTGGGAGAATTGCCACATATAAGAAGTACTTTCTTAAATATTAAATGACTTCGTAAAGAGCTTTTTTTAACACAATCAGCCATTTCCCACTGAGGCAGGGTGACCCCCCCAAAAAAAAGGAGAAATCTTATATAAGAATGGCTTCAAAGACCTAGTACAGGTCAGCCATCACTAATCCGGCAATCGATTATCCAGTTCCATCAGTAATCTGGCACTAATTTCGGCTAGCATAATTTCAAATTTCATCATTATACTGACTCAGAAACTGTGCAGATGGTTGTAAATCCACAGCAGACAGCCAGTGGAGGAGAAAGCAGCAATGAAACTGAGGAAGATGTAGCAGAAAGTCTCTCTATTGCTAGGTTAATTAAGTGTATTCTAACCTAACTACTCTGTAATTCAGCAAACTCACTAATCCAGGACACTACAGGTCCCAATGATGCCAGATTAGTGATGGCCGACCTGTATATAAATTAAAAACTCCATAAGGATGTTAAGCATCAAGCAGTATGGGCATAGAGGAACAAAGCAAACAGCTGGTTGGTTGCCATTCCAACATTTAAATTTATTAGGATAACCGTGAGTGAACTTGCAAAAATGGCTTAAAAATTTATATTAAACCAAATATCTATAGACTGTAGAAACAATTTTTTTTTTTATTAACACATCGGTTGTTTCCCACCAAGGCAGGGTGACCCAAAAACGAAGAAACACTTTCATCATCACTCGCCCCATCACTGTCTTGCCAGAGGCATACAAGCACTACAGTTATAAAATAATATCCACACATATTTTGGCCATTTAATAAAACCAAACCAACCTGGATAAATATGACATTTAAAAGGTTAAATTAAATGGCATCAAGGAGTGGAAGTAAAACAAAATTTTATTCTAAGTGTGTAATGCAGTATCTTTGAGTGTGAAGAAGCAAGCACTCATACTCACTGGGTAACTGGCTGCACTTGGCATTCTTGGGCCAGTCACATAACTTAGCAGCTTGATTCCAGTGGAGACCTGGAGCACATCTAGCCTCCACAAGCTGCTGTGCTACACACCTGTTCAAAGAGCACATATTTAACCATAACTGTAGAATTTTCAATTTATGCCACCTCTTGAGGCTAACTGAAAGTCATTCTAATACACATTTTTTAACAAAATAATAACCTACAAAAAAGTATTACTCTTATATTCACTGGGGAAGTGCTTAGTCTGTAGGTATCACACACTGACCCAAAAATATAGGTTGCATGAGGAATTATTGCAAAATTGCACATGTGCTTTCATGTGTTTAAAATTTAATTACTAAAATGGCTGCAGGTCTTGGGTAAATTTTCTTTCATTGTTTGTATTAAGATTTCAAATAATACACAAACAGAGGGATAAGCAAGAAAAGCTAAAAGTCACAGGTGAAGGTGACTAGGGAGGATCAGTTACAGATGAAGGTGACCAGGGAGCACTAAAGACACAAATGAAGATGGCCAGAGAAGATTTAGGATGCTAGTGAAAGTGACCATGCAGCTGCCCCCTACCTGAGGAAGATGCTGCAGCTGCCCCGTACCTGAGGAAGATGCTGCAGCTGCCCCCTACCTGAGGAAGATGCTGCAGCTGCCCCCCTACCTGAGGAAGATGCTGCAGCTGCCCCCTACCTGAGGAAGATGCTGCAGCTGCCAATCTTGGGGAAGTAATCATCTGCAGTACACAGATCGCCTGGTTGAGGTCCACCCACAGACTGTGGTCTTGTAGTTGTGGTTGTTGTAGTGGTAGTGGTGGTTGTCGTTTTTGGTCTGTGTGTGCTAGGGGGCCACACTGGTTTCTCTGTAGCTGGTGGCCATTGAGGCCGCTGAGTTGTTGGAGGCCACTGGGGCCATTGAGTGCTTGGAGGCCACTGAGGTTCATCAGCAGGTGGAGGCCACTGAGGCTGCTCAGTGGATGGAGGCCAAACTGGTCGCTGTGTGGTCGGAGGCCACTGAGGTCGCTGAGTGGTTGGGGGCCACACTGGTCGCTGTGTGGTTGGGGGCCATGTTGGTCGCTGCGTGGTAGGAGGCCATGGAGGTCGATCAGTTGCTGGAGGCCACTGAGGTCGTTCAGTGGTTGGAGGCCCCTGAGGTCGCTCAGTGGTTGGAGGCCACTGAGGTCTCTCAGTGACTGGAGGCCACTGAGGTCTCTCAGTGGCTGGAGGCCACTGAGGTCGCTCAGTTGCTGGAGGCCACTGAGGTCGCTGTGTAGTTGGAGGCCACTGAGGCTGTGTGGTGGGAGGCTGTGTTGGTCGCTGAGTTTTCGGTGGCCATGCAGGTCTCTCTGTGGTCGGTGCCAACGTGGTGGTAGTGGTCTTCTTGGTAGATGGTTGCCAAGGTTTCATCCAATCTGGGGTGACACTGGTGGGTTCCTCACTGGCAACAGTGAACTTGCCATAGTCTGAAGTGGTTGGCTTCTTGCTGAATGCTGTTGACATTGAAAGCCTCTATTAGTAAACAGAACCTCAATCACCTCTGTTAGTAAACAAAACCTTAATCACTTCTGTTAGTAAACAGTACCTTAATTACAATTAAAGATTCACTTCAGCACGATATAATGTGTATACAGAGATGGGTGACATTTAGGTAAACATGCAGAAAGCCCCTTAGTATGCAGATCATTTTTGGGCAAACTTAAGCCTATCTTAAGACTAATAAGGTAATAATTGATTGTTTATATATACGGTCTCTAAGTGGTTGTAACAATAAATAACCAAACAACAATCTTTCTTTTGATGCCCAGAATTATTAGTTAGTACATATTAATATAAACTCTTACTTTCCAGAACTATCATAACATAATACGTATAAACTTTTAGTATGCAACTTTTATGATTAGTCTGCCCAAAATGCTTCATATAACAAGTGACTTTCTTTAGAAAATACAATTGTAATCGCGTCAATTGCATTTCTTATATAACCGTATGAAAAGCGTAACCCAACATACTGCAAACCCATCCACTGTAACTTTAATGTGTATTCCAAAAGAAATAAAGATTTTTATTCTCTTTTCATTTCCATTTTCACTGACCAGGAATGCAATTCATTTGTGAGTTAGAAACCTTGTATACTGCTGATCTCAATGAAGGACACATTATAAATATTTTTCTTAAGCTGAAGCTTCCAAAGCTTTGCATAAATGTGATAAAATCCCATTAGAGTATAAACAAGTACAGATTCATTTGTTCATTACCTGTCATGCAGATTCTGAACAAATGCTTATGAAAAAATGAGGTCATTCCAAAATGATCTGTTCAATATAATCCAAAATGACTGCATAACAGAAAATGTATCTAATACAAATATGTACTAAAAATTTTTACCAAAAGTTATAATCCGAAATGATTGCATAACAGAAATTGTTTCTAATACAAATAAATACTAAAAATTTTTACCCAGTGTTATAATCCAAAATGACTGCATAACAGTAAATGTTTCTACTATAAAAAAAAAAATAAATAAATTACCAAAAGTTATAAATGTTATCAATTGCACTTATGTATACAGGTATTATAAAAAAAGAAAGCAACCTTAAGAGCCTGCTGTGTATTAAAACCTTCAAACTTATTTTATATGTTAAATCACCACTCTTATGTTAAAGCTTAGAACTATAATCTCCTAAATACATGTATCTTCCTAATCAAAATGAGAAACCACTTGGCAAGAAATATGAAAAACAGTTAAGAGACATGTACACGACATATTTCAGCTTTGGTCAGAGACCCTCTTCAGTTGAATTGATGAAATAAATAGATTTCTCATGCCTGTGTTTCATATTTCTGTGACAGTGGTTTTAAATACCTGCAGTGATTATATTTTAATGCAAAGATATCTTTTGATATACAGTGCAGTAAGTACTTTGACCAATAGCTAACATAAAATACAGTATTAAGTTAAGTTCACCCTTCAAACCTGTTTCCATCAGTCATTTTACTCACATTACCATGGAACAACAAGCACCCTCTCTCCCACACCATAACAGCACATAAGTCAAAAATATAACCTTATCCACCATGGCAAAAATAGCTGATTGACACCACATAAAGCATTAGTTCACAGTGTTGAATTAAATATTACCCAATCCAGTAAGTATTGTATTAAAACACTGGCCGAGACACCCTCATTAACTTACTGTCTGTTGGTATGAAGGATCAGCGGCCAGGAAGGTTCACACACACACACACACACGGTGATTGGAAAATATGCGAGAATTCTATTATAAATTTTTTTACAATATGATGAACAGACGACAAATATTTTAAGAGAAGTTTAAGCTTCTCTTCTTTAAGAATAAAGAACTATTTTGTCTGCCAAAATATCTTATCACTCTTTTGTACATGACCAGTACTGTACATATGCAGCCAGGCATTATTACTGACAAAAGTTGTGAGCACATCACAAAATTATAAAAATAAAATTATGTATTCCAAATAATTTTACTCTATTTTTGACATATACCATATTTTATAAATCCAAATACAATGCTGAATTTTTTATAAAAGTGATAAATAAATTTCTTATTACAAACATAAATTTTTCTTATATACCAATTAATGTAAACAGTCTTTATTTAGAACTTTTATGAGGTACATTAGCAGTGCAGTGTAGTGGCACATGATGTTAATATTTTTTCATAAGTTGCTGAATTCATGAAAATATGCCCAGTTTGTGATAGAGATCTTTGTTTTTATATATATGTTGTAGTTTTACATTAAAATTGGTTTATTTCAGGGTATAGTCTGTTAGTTTCTTGAATAGAATATTTTCCTGATATTGTTAACTGCATGGTTGTGAAAACATGTCAGTTCATGGTTTTCTGCAAGATGAACTTTTTTGAACTGTACTAGTAAAAATGTCAATCTGTGAGTTTTTTTAAGTTAACTCCTGATTAAGTGGACAAATTTTTTGTGATATATTTTAGTGGGTTTCCAGGTGGAGTTGCTGTAATTATAAAACTGTTTCCGTGTTTCACAATAAAATAGCATTGTATTGTAAAATAACTGTAAACTGCCCCAAAATAAATGTCATTTTGCATCAGTTTTATATTCAAATTTGTTGGTTTCTTGAGAAATGGTGTGACCTGGTAAAATAAGTCATATAGTATAACATGTTCATAGCATAAAAAGTGATAATGTTGTATTGTATCAAACCATGTTCAGCTGTGAAGTTCCTGGTATTTATGAAATGCAAGACAGTGCATAGTATACACTCCTACCATAAAAAAATTATGGAAGCGACTGCTAAATACACACACACACACACAAACATAGATGAAGGAAGCACTGTATACCTGAGGCATAAGTAGTAGTCCTAACAGGGGTGGGTGGGGTAGCTCCTGGAGGTGTTTTGGCACAGTTTCCTCCTGGCCTGGGGGGTGGGTAGGGCACACTCCTCAACACTCGGTTAATGGCACGTAGGAGGGGCATGGACTCCCTACAACAATCATTATGAAGGTCGTCAAAGCTAAGGTCCCACACCATGGCCCCACCATAGCCAGAGTCTTTGATGTATGTAGCCTTGTGCGCGACAGAGCTGGGGTCATCATAGCTGTACCACTGGTTGCCTTTATGAGCGTATGGTCCAATGGCACCTGTTGCATCCACCACCTTTGTCCAACCTGGACTGCGCACTGATACAAACAGAAAAAAAAAGTTAAAGTGTCTTTAAAATCAGGATAAGAAACCTTACTTTCCAGCCTCAGACCCAAGATAATTGTGTATTGTATATCCTGGTATCTGGACAGCCAGAATAGTCAAATTTAAACTTGTCTAACATTAACATTAAAATTTATGAAGCAAACCAAAGTGCAAAAGCTATATATTCTCTTCCTTGATATGCCAACTGCCACACCGTGATTTTCATCAAGACACAAATAACCCGCACATATGAGGGAGGAGCTTATGAGGACGTTTCAGTCCAACATGGACCATTTACAAAGTCACACTTTGTAAATGGACCACAACGTTGTCATAAGCTCCTCTCTCCTATGCACAGGTTATTTGTGTATTGTTCCAGTCACGGTATTGTGCCTCTTGTTGTTTATCATCAAATACAGTATTACTAATATATTTAAAGAATAAATAATAATAATAATAATAATAATACAGTGGAACCTCAGTTTTCGTGATTAATCCGTTCAAAAAAGTCTGACGAAAACCAAATCGTACAAAAACTGAAGCAATATTTCCCATAAGAAATAATATAAATCTAATTAATTTGTTCCAGACACCCAAAAATATTAAAAAAAAAAAAAAATTTTTTATAGAGAATAATTATAGTTTTACATATGGAAAACAATGAAAAATTAAATATAAAGCACTAATGAAATGAATAAATGAACATTTAACATCACTTTTACCTTGAAGACTTTTGTTTCATAAAAAGCAGTTTTGAAAATAATACGAATATTTCCCTTGGTTTATATAAATTAGATTCATTTATAATTAAAAGAACTATTGTACAACTTAAAATATGATAAATTTCTTTAGTATTAAGTAGTCAGTAAGCCATTAAATTAAGTCTGGTCATAATGCCTAGGCATGACAGAGGCTCTCTTTGCACTGCAACTCATTACTGTAAATACATAATCTTGATGTACTACTGTACTTGCAAAGAAATAAAAATTTGAATCTGAATTTGAATTTGTATGGAAGACAGTGAGGAGGGGAGAGGGAGGAGGAGAGGTTATTGTTTGGAAGGGGAATCCCCGTCCATAAGGAATTCAGGTATCAAAGCCCTATCCAGGGTTACTTCCCTTCTTTGTCTTGTACTGGCACTAGGACCAACTTGAGTGTTACTGGACCCCTGTAGCACAAAAAGTCTGTCCAGAGGTCTGTTTCTGGCATCTCTTTAAGATTTGACTAAAATGGGACAGGCATTGTCATTGTGTCCTGGCAGCGCCTTTTCCTCCTGCATGATGTAGGTCCTCTTTGGTATTTTCTTCCAAAAGAGGCCTGTTTTGTCACAAGTGAAGACTTGTTGGGGGAGGAATCCTTCAGCCTCTACATACTCCTTGAATTCATCAACAAATTCTTCAGTTGCATGTTTGTCCGAACGTGCAGCCTCACCATGCCTTACCACACTGTGTATGCCAGTTCGCTTCTTGAACTTGCCGAACCAGCCTCTGCTGCCCTTAAATTCACTAACAGCAGCACTTGTTCCAGGCATTTTCTTTGCGAGATCCGCATGCCTTGCCTTTTCGCAGATTATCGCCTCCAAAACACTATCTCCCACTAACTGTTTTTCGTTGATCCACACCAACAACAACTCAACATCTTCAACTGTTTGCGATCTCTGTTTCGTTTGCACATTTACCCCTTTCGCAACATCAGCTTCCTTGATTTCTTTTTTCTTCGCCAGGATGGAACTGATCGTTGATGTGGACTTCCCATACATCCTGGCGAGATTGGGCACACGTACGCCACTTTCATACTTTGCTATAAGTTCTTTCTTGAATTTTATCATGTTTCTCGCCTTCTTTATCAAAGGGCTGGCACTTGGAACTTTCTTGGGCCCCATGGTGGCTTATTTAGCAGTTGCACTCAATAAACAAGCACAAAAATCAATGGATTATTATGAAATGTTTTGGATGAAGGCATGGGGTGATGCTCACTCAACGAGAAACAAAGGCAGACTGAGTCACGAACACATGGGATGCTTTGTGTGGGTGCTCGATTCTAGGAAATGAGTGACCGAGTCATGCGGGCAGGCAGACGAGTTTGGTACGGACCATTTACAACTGTACAAAAACTGAGCAGATGTACGAAAACTGGGACAAAATTTCAACGAAAAAAAGTCATTAAAAATCAAATTGTATGAAAACTAGGTCATACGAAAACTGAGGTTTGACTGTAATAATAATAATAATAATAATAATAATAATAATAATAATAATAATAATAATAATAATAATAATAATAATAATAATAATAATGTCTTTTATGAGCAAAATAAATATTTTTACTTCAGAAAGATGGAACTTGTTTTGAGCAAGATAAAGAATTAAATTCAGGGCAGACAGAAAACTTATTTATATGAATTCTTTAAATTTATAAAAACAAAAATATATGACTAAGGAGAGAAAAAAATTAGTTTGGCTTCATTTTTAAGACTTTTTTTAATTTTGTTATTTTAAAGTTGTCATGGGACAAATTTCTTGCACAGCACAAATTGCTAACATATCCTCTATACTACCTTCCAGGGAGGTGCCTTGATGCTTGTCAAGGATTCCTGATCTAAGGAATTGGAGCTACCCTCCCCTTCTTCAGATCAAACCTAACAGCCCCCCATTCCCTAGGCACTGTATGACCATTGTGGGTTAAATGTCCTCCCATGACTATATGTTTCAAGTTTTGTACTAATAATTTACTGACTGTAACAATCTACTCCTGAAATAGGTTTCAATATTGTAGTTATTACAATGATGAATTGGAAAGATAAGTTTTGTAATGAAAAATATGCAAATATTCTTCTCAGTAGAAGATGTTTTTAATGGTAAAATAAGAAAGAGTTGGCAACTCACCAGCCTTGCAAATCTCAAAGTAGGCAAGCATGCCCTTCTGCATGGTGACAGCACCAGGGTTCCCACTGCTCACAGTGGGGGCATTAAGGCCACTCTGTGAGGGGTTAGCCAGTGTGAAGGTCTGGCCATAGAAGGGAATGCCCATCACCAACTTTCTTGGGTCAGCCCCCCTATCTACCCAGTGCTTGAGGGCATAGGCAGTGTTTTGACTCTCGTATCTGCAAAGGTTGAATGAATGTATATACAGTATACTGTATGTGGGGAGGTACCCACCTATTTGTGGTTGTAGGGGTTGATTCTCAGATCCAGACCCCTGCCTTCGAACTTGCTACTCTCCAGATTCACTCCCTCATAGTGGGCCCTATCATACACTGTTAGGTGTTGGGAGCAGTGAGAGAATTAAATCCTATGTTATTTTGTTTACATTCGATTGTCTTTTGCTTTGTATCACTGTGACTGTGGACTTCAGGAGAGTACAGTGTTATTGTTACTGTGTCTTTTATTACCACCTACAACCATAATATACATGCTCTTAAAACTATATAGGAAGCCTGCCTCCACTACTTTCTCACTAAGATTGTTCCACTTCCCGACCACTCTGAGACTAAAGAAATGCTTCCTCACATCCCTGTGGGTCAGCTGTGTCTTTAACTTAGGAGTGGTGTCCCTGAGCTCCTGTTTTTTGCCTCTCAAACACCCTATCCCTGTCTATCTGATCAATTCCCCGCTGAGTATTTTGTATATTATCATGTTGTTCCCCTGCTTCTTCTATCCTCCAATGTCATTAGGTCAAATTCTGTTAACCTCTCCTCATAGTTCATGCCCCTTAGCTCAGGAACAAGCCATGTTGCATACTTCTACATGTTCTCTAGTTGTGAATTTTTTTTTTTAACACACTGGCCATTTCCCACTGAGACAGGGTGGCCCAAAAAAGAAACACTTTCACCATCATTCACACTCTCACTGTAATGCCAGAGTGTGCATGCATGTTAGGATGGGTCAGAAAGAATTGAACCTATTTTGTTCCATCCTTTCAAAACAACAACCCCTCTTCTGCTTCCAGTAGTATAACTTTCATACTGTTACACTGTTTTCTAATTTCCTAACTCTTAATTCTCTTCCTAGTATTTACATCACAGTTTAATCTCAAACATATCTCCCCTGCCTCCAGCCCCCTCCTTGCTGCAACATTTAAAGATCATGCTTTACACCCATGCAACCCTCCAGCTACCTTCTCTTCCTCATATATTCTATCATTCATCTCTACTTTTACAGCTCCTCCTACTGACACACACTCCTAAATATAAAATATTTCCCTCCATGAAATATCTGAAAAAGCATTAAAAAGCAAAATACAAGAGGATTTAAAGTTGTGAAAGAAGAAAAGATAAGAGTGTGTGTGGAAGGTCATAAACAAAAGCCAGAACTCACAGATCTCCACTTCTACACAACAGTGTGTAGAAGGTAATAAACAAGAACTAGAACTCACAGATCTCCGCTTCTGAAGTGGAGGGGAGAGACGTGACCAGTCTTTCTCTCCCAGGCTCCATGGAAATCATAGGTCATAACATTGAGAAAGTCCACATGTTTTGACAGTGCTGTCACTTCATAGGAGCGATCAATGGTGTTGCGTGCTGGAGATACAGCTGCTGACAGTAGAAGAGGTGGAGACTGGGATTTGAAAGCCATGTTGAGTTCCTAATGAAGGATTAATAACTAATATGAGATGAGTTATATAGTTATTGTATTAAGAGTACCTGTTAGGAGCAGTGGTGAAGACATTAGGCATTTTATTATAAGTTTGGTAATATGAATAAACACCAGCAGAGGAAACACATTTATCCTACACACTACACTATGTGGTTTCACAATAATAATAATAATAATAATAATATAATAATAATAATAATAATAATAATAATAAAAATAATAATAATAATAATAATAACAATAATATAATACACTTTATTTCTACAAGTACACATACATGAAAAATGTGATTATTCCTGTAAACGGAAAGACAACTTGTGACATTTTTCTTATAGGTTATTCATAGTACAATTATAATGACTTGTCAATAATGCTCCCGGTTACAACAACCTACTAGATTCTTACAGCAAATAAAGGATAATAATACAGGTAGGCCATCACTAATCTGGCATCATTGGGACCTGTAGTGTGCAGGATTACAGAGTGGTTTGGTTATAATACACTTAATTAACCTATCAACAGAGACTCTTTCTGCTACATCTTCCTCATTTTCATCACTGCTTTCTCTTCCACTGGCTTGCTACTGTGGATTAACAACAATCTGCATAATTTCTGAGTCAGTATAATGAAATTTGAGTCAGTATAACGATGAAATTTGATATTATGCTAATTGAAATTAGTGCTGGATTACTGATGGAACCAGATAACTGATTGCCAGATTAGTGATGGGCAACTTGTAATACAGTGGAACCCCGGTTTTCATCCGGTCCGGTTATCAGTCTGCCTTTGTTACTCGTTCAGTAAGGAGAGAGAAGGAAAAATGTGCCTTCTTCAGCGATTAAGGACATTTGTGCAAAATGGAGTGAGGTGGAAAGTTTTGTGGAGAAATATCACCCTAACCAAGCTGTTGCAAGCCATGTCAGCAACATGTTGAATGACAATGCCGTGTTCCATTTTAGGGAAATCTTAAAGAGATGCCAGAAACAGGCCTTTCTGGACAGATTTTTTGTGTGACAGGGGACCAGTGACTTTCAAGCTGGTCCTAGTGCCAATAAAAGACAAAGAAGAGAAGCAACCCCAGATAGGGCTTTGATACCTGAAGTCCTTATGGAGGGGGATTCCCCTTCCAAACAATAATCTCTTCTCCCTCTCCCCTTCTCGCCATCTTCCATACGCCAACAAGAGTCTTCAATAACGGTAAAAGTGACCTTAAATGTTCATTTATCCATTTCATTAGTCATTTATATTTATTTCTCATTATTTTCTGTATGTAAAACTATAGTTAATGTCTATAAAAACCCCAGGTGTTTTTTTATTATTATCACACTGGCCGATTCCCACCAAGGCAGGGTGGCCCGAAAAAGAAAAACTTTCACCATCATTCACTCCATCACTGTCTTGCCAGAAGGGTGCTTTACACTACAGTTTTTAAACTGCAACATTAACACCCCTCCTTCAGAGTGCAGGCACTGTACTTCCCATCTCCAGGACTCAAGTCCGGCCTGCCGGTTTCCCTGAATCCCTTCATAAATGTTACTTTGCTCACACTCCAACAGCACGTCAAGTATTAAAAACCATTTGTCTCCATTCACTCCTATCAAACACGCTCACGCATGCCTGCTGGAAGTCCAAGCCCCTCGCACACAAAACCTCCTTTACCCCCTCCCTCCAACCCTTCCTAGGCCGACCCCTACCCCGCCTTCCTTCCACTACAGACTGATACACTCTTGAAGTCATTCTGTTTCGCTCCATTCTCTCTACATGTCCGAACCACCTCAACAACCCTTCCTCAGCCCTCTGGACAACAGTTTTGGTAATCCCGCACCTCCTCCTAACTTCCAAACTACGAATTCTCTGCATTATATTCACACCACACATTGCCCTCAGACATGACATCTCCACTGCCTCCAGCCTTCTCCTCGCTGCAACATTCATCACCCACGCTTCACACCCATATAAGAGCGTTGGTAAAACTATACTCTCATACATTCCCCTCTTTGCCTCCAAGGACAAAGTTCTTTGTCTCCACAGACTCCTAAGTGCACCACTCACTCTTTTTCCCTCATCAATTCTATGATTCACCTCATCTTTCATAGACCCATCCGCTGACACGTCCACTCCCAAATATCTGAATACGTTCACCTCCTCCATACTCTCTCCCTCCAATCTGATATTCAATCTTTCATCACCTAATCTTTTTGTTATCCTCATAACCTTACTCTTTCCTGTATTCACCTTTAATTTTCTTCTTTTGCACACCCTACCAAATTCATCCACCAATCTCTGCAACTTCTCTTCAGAATCTCCCAAGAGCACAGTGTCATCAGCAAAGAGCAGCTGTGACAACTCCCATTTTGTGTGTGATTCTTTATCTTTTAACTCCACGCCTCTTGCCAAGACCCTCGCATTTACTTCTCTTACAACCCCATCTATAAATATATTAAACAACCACGGTGACATCACACATCCTTGTCTAAGGCCTACCTTTACTGGGAAAAAATTTCCCTCTTTCCTACATACTCTAACTTGAGCCTCACTATCCTCGTTAAAAACTCTTCACTGCTTTCAGTAACCTACCTCCTACACCATACACTTGCAACATCTGCCACATTGCCCCCCTATCCACCCTGTCATACGCCTTTTCCAAATCCATAAATGCCACAAAGACCTCTTTAGCCTTATCTAAATACTGTTCACTTATATGTTTCACTGTAAACACCTGGTCCACACACCCCTACCTTTCCTAAAGCCTCCTTGTTCATCTGCTATCCTATTCTCGTCTTACTCTTAATTCTTTCAATTATAACTCTACCATACACCTTACCAGGTACACTCAACAGACTTATCCCCCTATAATTTTTGCACTCTCTTTTATCCCCTTTGCCTTTATACAAAGGAACTATGCATGCTCTCTGCCAATCCCTAGGTACCTTACCCTCTTCCATACATTTATTAAATAATTGCACCAACCACTCCAAAACTATATCCCCACCTGCTTTTAACATTTCTATCTTTATCCCATCAATCCCGGCTGCCTTACCCCTTTCATTTTACCTACTGCCTCACGAACTTCCCCCACACTCACAACTGGCTCTTCCTCACTCCTACAAGATGTTATTCCTCCTTGCCCTATACACGAAATCACAGCTTCCCTATCTTCATCAACATTTAACAATTCCTCAAAATATTCCTCCATCTTCCCAATACCTCTAACTCTCCATTTAATAACTCTCCTCTCCTATTTTTAACTGACAAATCCATTTGTTCTCTAGGCTTTCTTAACTTGTTAATCTCACTCCAAAACTTTTTCTTATTTTCAACAAAATTTGTTGATAACATCTCACCCACTCTCTCATTTGCTCTCTTTTTACATTGCTTCACCACTCTCTTAACTTCTCTCTTTTTCTCCATATACTCTTCCCTCCTTGCATCACTTCTACTTTGTAAAAACTTCTCATATGCTAACTTTTTCTCCCTTACTACTCTCTTTACATCATCATTCCACCAATCGCTCCTCTTCCCTCCTGCACCCACTTTCCTGTAACCACAACTTCTGCTGAACACTCTAACACTACATTTTAAACCTAGCCCATACCTCTTCGACCCCATTGCCTATGCTCTCATTAGCCCATCTATCCTCCAATAGCTGTTTATATCTTACCCTAACTGCCTCCTCTTTTAGTTTATAAACCTTCACCTCTCTCTTCCCTGATGCTTCTATTCTCCTTGTATCCCATCTACCTTTTACTCTCAGTGTAGCTACAACTAGAAAGTGATCTGATATATCTGTGGCCCCTCTATAAACATGTACATCCTGAAGTCTACTCAACAGTCTTTTATCTACCAATACATAATCCAACAAACTACTGTCATTTCGCCCTACATCATATCGTGTATACTTATTTATCCTCTTTTTCTTAAAATATGTATTACCTATAACTAAACCCCTTTCTATACAAAGTTCAATCAAAGGGCTCCCATTATCATGTTAATATTTTTGGGTGTCTGGACTGGATTAATTGGATTTACATTATTTCTTATGGGAAATATTACTTCAGTTTTCATACAAATTGGTTTTTGGCCAACTTTCTGGAAAGGATTAATTGGATTTACATTATTTCTTATGGGAAATACTACTTCAGTTTTCATACAAATCAGTTTTCAGCCCACCTTCTAGAACGGATTAAAGACGAAAACCGGGGTTTCACTGTAATAATATCTTAATTTCTACAAGTACATGTACAAGGTATACAGGTCTAGCTGACATCAATGACATACTACTACATATAAAGCCTCTTGTTATGCAGAGCACTTCGGGCAAATTAGGTCAGTTTTGTCCCAGGATGCCACCCACACCAGTCGACTAACACCTAGGTACCCATTTTATACTGATGAGTGAACATGGACAACAGGTGTTTTATGGAAACACGTCCTAATATTATCCAGTCGTACCAAAGATTCGAACTCCGGACCTCAGTGTGTGAGCTAAGTGTGCTAGCGATCGAGCTACAGGACACACCAGCCACTGGATGCTACAATTTGAACACTGTTATACCATATAAAAGGTTAACTCAAACCTCAAAGCTAATTACCAACCTTTATAATGTTAGTGAAGGAAGAGACATCAGACTGTGGGCCTTTAGAACAATCCATCTGCCAACATCGTGGGTACATCCAACCAAAGTCCAGTCCATCAAAGCCATAGGCTCTCAATACATCTGTGGTGTGCTGCACAAACCTGTATCAAAATTATTCGGTTTGCATTATTGTTGAAATTTTTTTAAACACATTATCACCAATATACAGTAGACTGCATGTATGTATATGTATATACGTATGTGTGTGTTCAAATTAGGGTATATATGAGAGAAGGGAACCATCTTCAAGTAAGTAAGCCATATTAGATAGGGATGTGTGATGTCACTATGAGTGCTTAATGTATCAAACACTGCAGTGAGGAGGAGGCTGGAGGCAGTGGAAGTGTCATGTTTGAGAATAATGTGTGGTGTGAATATTATGCATGAATTCAAAGCATAGAAATCTGTAGGAAGATAATGAAAATACGACTCTCTCTCTACATCTGATGAATATACTATAATGCAGTCTAGCCCAATGAAGAGCCTTCTCTGTAAGAACTTTATGGAAACCTTCTGATTCACATAAATGAAATTCTAGCAAAAAGCTTTGTAAAAGAAAAGGAACTCCATATATCCTACCTAGATGCATCAGTTAGAGAATCTGAGTTGAGCAATGATGCTATGGGATATGAAACAGCAGCTCACCTTCTTAATAACAGACAGCATTTCACTGTTGCAAAGACAATCAAGTGACTGACGTAGGTACCTTAAGCAGGTAATATCTCGCATAGTTTTTTCTACTACACTTGGGGGGTGCTTGTTTTCTGTTGACATGCAGAACCTAATAATGCCTTTCATTGATATTTCATTTATTTCAGTGGTACATTATAACTGGTTAATTTTGGGGGATGGAGGACAACCTAACTTAACTTAACCTAAATAATGAAAATCAAGAAATTAGCTGGAAACTGACATGAGAGAAATGCACATAACATTTGAAGGTATAGGCTGCAAACAAAACCCATATGCAAGAAATCCACATAACAACTGCAAGGATGGGCTGCAAACAGACAGTTGAGGGCAACTGCATTTGCATACTAGTGGCTTTTTTGTGGCTAACCATGATTTATTACACATAAGCTACATTATCCTAATTTTTTTTTTCAACAAGTCGGCCATCTCCCACCTAGGCAGTGTGACCCAAAAAGAAAGAAAATCCCCAAAACGAAAATACTTTCATCATCATTCAACACTTTCACCTCACTCATACATAATCACTGTTTTTGCAGAGGCACCCAGATACAACAGTTTAGAAGCATATATAAAGATACAATATAAAAAGTGACCTGAAATAATTACAATATCAGGGCCCCAATTATATATATACTGTCCTATTACACATCCCACCAAACTGCCAGTATCCCAAACCCCTCCTTTAAAGTGCAGGCATTGTACTTCCCATTTCCAGAACTTAAGTCTGGCTATATAAAAATGACCGGTTTCCCTGAATCCCTCCACCAAATATTACCCTGTTCACACTCCAACAGCTCGTCAGGTCCCAAAAACCATTTGTCTCCATTCACTCCTATCTAACACACTCATGCACACTTGCTGGAAGTCCAAGCCCCTCACCTACCAAACCTCCTTTACCCCCTCCCTCCAACCTCTTTGAGGACGACCCCTACCCCGCCTTCCTTCCCCTACAGATTTATACGCTCTCCATGTCATTCTACTTTGATTCATTCTCTCTAAATGACCAAACTACCTCGACAATCCCTCTTCATGCCTCTGACTAATACTTTTATTAACTCCACACCTCTAATTTCCACACTTCAAATTCTCTGCATAATATTTATACCACACATTAAAAAAATAAAAATTTGAATTTTGAACTTACTTGGTGGCAGCCTTGGGGTTGTTCACCAGGCGGGAGTACTTGTCACTGACAGAGTCCACCCACCCTCCCAGACCCAACATCACTTTCAACCCCGGAGCCTTCTGTTTCAGTGACAAAATTCTCTGGTAAAAACCTGAAATAGATAACATGAGTGAGGTATGTTGAAGAAATCTGACACTGAGGTATGTCAAAAAATCTGACAATGATTAAGGTATGGCAAAGAAATCTGACACTGAGGTATGTCAAAGAAATCTGACACAGATTGAGGTATGTCAAAGAAATTTGATATTGATTGAGGTAGGTAAAAGAAATCTGACATAGACTGAGGTATGTCAAATAAATCTTCCACATTTAAATTAGCAGTGACTGATACATATAATCTCTTTTCACAGATGTTCCCTTTGTTGCTAATTCATAGTAGAGTGATGTTGATGGAGAGCACAATGCTAATACGCAGATGAAGACAGAAGTATGCAGACAAAGCTTTTTAGAGCAACATCAATAGAGCTCTTTCTGGTCATGATTTAATAAAGCTCTACTTAAATCAAAACATTGTTGAAATAAAGGTTTGTTCTGCATACTTGTGTATTTATCAACACAGCAGAATCCTATGCTATCTAAATTTTTGTTGTAGAAGAAACTACCATACTATGTGTTCTTTGACACTGATCTCCAGTCCTTCAAGCACAACCTGTGGAGTTAACTTCTCCACAACATGTTATATTATGTAATTTTCTTCCAGGTAAAAGGACACAAGTGCAACTAATGTGACATTTTATTGTAGTAACATTTTGCTACAAGTGCAACTAATGTGACATTTTATTGTAGTAACATTTTGCTCTCCAGAAGTGTCCTTGTATTGTTTGTAATGGCTTTGTTAAGCTGTTACAAACAATAGAGGGAGACAGAAGAGTATATATGAGTACAGAATGAGGTGCAAAGTTCCTGGAGAATGAAATATTGCCACAATAAAATGTCCCATTAGTTGCACTCGTATCTTTTTACCTAACATTTTGTCGGGAATTCTACCAACATTATTACAATTTTCTTCCACTGGTTATAGATTTAGTGATTCTTAAAATAAAATAAAAACAAAATTACAGTGTTTTGCAATGATGATTAACATGGATAAGCCCCTTGTTATATAATGCATTTAAGAAAATTAGAAATAATTTAGGGCTAACCTTAGAAAAATACTAAATCTAACTTAATGACATATCACAGGTTAGTATAGTTGTCTGAGGGTAAGTTTACTACAATAACTTTGTCTTTTTATAAAAGCAATGTTAATATGAAGAACAGTAACATAAACCCTCACTGACAGTTAATGCACAAGCGGATCATCAGTATTAACATTACTTGGAACTGAGACAGTCTTGGACAGTACAGATGTGAATCAGAAAGTCACAGTTTATGTACAGGAAAAAAAATAAAGGAAGATTCACTTTGGGACTTACTGTAGTCAAAGTCGAGGTAGGGGTCTAGTGCACGCATGACCAGCTCTGAGGAATCGAGCATGGTATAGGCATAGATGAGGTGAGTGCAGAGGACTGGATCAACATACTCAGGGGCATATTTGTAAGGGTCAGGACGGTGGTAGGACCAGCTAGTGAAATAACACACAACCTTGTAGTCGCCTGTAGGAAAACAAAAATGTGCTTGGTCATCTTTGGAGTACATACGTCTGACACCTGTCACATGGAAGCACTGTATCTTGCTTGCTAAGATCATTGGTAAAATTTTTCCTGACTTGTGTCTTAGTCATATGATGATGTACACAACGTTTTTTTTGTTCATATAACTGAGACCTTCCACTAGCTTACTAGTCCACCCTATAATTCATTAAATATCACATAACAGGATATGATATTTAAAGTTTTCCACCCGTCTCCATTTAAAAATTGAAGAATCACATTTCCACTTCTTAAGATTACTTGTGAGAAACAGTGAGTAGTACTGGACTACATATGGCACTATACAAACTATTGTGGCAAGTTACCTGCTGGCTATGGTGATATTAGGACAAACCAGGAACTTGTATATGGACTTTGATAGTTTTTTTTTTTTTTTTTTTTTATTATCACACCGGCCGATTCCCACCAAGGCAGGGTGGCCCGAAAAAGAAAAACTTTCACCATCATTCACTCCATCACTGTCTTGCCAGAAGGGTGCTTTACACTACAGTTTTTAAACTGCAACATTAACACCCCTCCTTCAGAGTGCAGGCACTGTACTTCCCATCTCCAGGACTCAAGTCCGGCCTGCCGGTTTCCCTGAATCCCTTCATAAATGTTACTTTGCTCACACTCCAACAGCACGTCAAGTATTAAAAACCATTTGTCTCCATTCACTCCTATCAAACACGCTCACGCATGCCTGCTGGAAGTCCAAGCCCCTCACACACAAAACCTCCTTTACCCCCTCCCTCCAACCCTTCCTAGGCCGACCCCTACCCCGCCTTCCTTCCACTACAGACTGATACACTTGATAGTTGTTTACAAGTAATCAAATAGAGCACATGTTTGGTGTAAGCATTATACGACTAAACACAATTATTAATAGTAACTAACTTCTCTCTTGTTACCAGTGACAGTTCTTGCATGTCAACTGTGACGTGCTTAAATTACAACCAAAAAACTTTTATATATTCCATGTTATCAATAAAATACTGATTTACAACAATTCTAATACAGTTATTACTAATATGTTACTAAAGAAAAATCAGCATGGTAACTGTTATAATGACAATTGCAGGAAAAACTATTTTAATTTCAGTGTTTACAGCAAATATGAAATTAAACATATTCCAGCATTATTTATTAGATTTTATATACACATTGTATTTTATTAGTAATTCAGGAAAAACTATACAGGAAGCAAAAGTCAGTAAGTTTCATTTCTTATTATTAGTAATCTAATTTTTTTTAACACACCAGTCATTTCCCACCAAGACAGGGTGACCCAAAAAAGAAGAAACACTTGCATCATCACTCACTCCATCACTGTCTTGCCAGAGGTGTACCAATACTACAGTTCAAAAACTGTAACATATCTCCACCCCTCCTTCAGAGTGCAGGCACTGTGCTTCCCACCTCCGGGACTCATATTTCATGTATATTCATGCCACTTTCAGATCAAACATACATGAGTGTACTCACTTGGAGCAGCCATCCTTAAAAGTGTAGCAGCACCTGTTGGGGAGAGCATTTCCTCCACCACTCTGACACTCTGGCCTGGCAGGCAGAACTTCTCATCTGGTTGGGTGCACACACCTGCACGGGAAACATGCACATGTTGTGTCTCACGAAATCATAATAACACAATTGCAAACAAACCAGGGAATGGGGTAGGGTTTGAACCATGGTGAGTGAGTTGTAAAACTCCAGGGTAGTGCATAAGCCACTGGGCCAGTTGGCTATAGTAAGATTCATCCAACTAGGTATATTTCTATAGTTGGATGAATCTTATTGTAGCCAGCTGGCCCAGTGGCTTACGCACTGGCCTGGAGCTTTATGACTCACTTGCCATGGTTTCAAACCTCACCCATTCCATGGCTTTGTTTATGCAATTGTTGCTAGGCCTCTGCAAGAGTTACATTAACATGCAACATTATTTTACATTGTATGACCTGGATAAAAACATATTTAGATCATTTTTATGACAAGCTAGACCATACATAAGTGGGATATTTGTTAAAATTATATAAATATGAAATTCTGTTGTTTCAGAAAACTAAACATTACAGGAATAAATTCTAAGTAGCAATGAAAGAAGGCTTCTGGTGTTCATAGGTCCAATATCCTGGCAGTAGTGCCAAACATGATGTATACTTCTGGAATGAGGCCAGTGGCAGGATATGAGACACTATGGGAGCAATACAGTTACCAAGCAAGCATGAAAAGTCAAGCACTACATGTTTCAAAAGTGCTTGAATTTGTATGTAATCAGCACTTTCTTTTGTCATGTATGGTTCATCATTCATGCTGTCAAATTTCTATAAATTTTAGCAAGCAGATGTTCCAGCTTCTTAACTCAATACGTATCATCCTTAAAGCAGAGAATATATAATTTATCAGAGGACTTCCATGATAGTGTAACTGTCCCTCAGACGGCTGTAAATATCGAAGAAAATAAAAAAAATTGCCCATATCAATACATGCTATTCAGAATTATTGCAAAGCATTATGTAAATAATTCTATGTGTTCCCTTCTGGTTCCAAAGCATACTACTGCATACATCCTCACCGACTAACGCTACAAGTGACCATCTGTTCAGTGTACTTATGAATGGTTTGAAGCAAAGGTCTATGCATTAGCTAGTCTATTTCTCCACCCTGGTGTTATCTTTACCTGTCCTGGGGTCGAAGAACATGCCATGCTGGCAGGAGTACCTGGCTGCCACTCCACTACGGCACCAGATGAACATTTGACAGTCATCTGGGTCACTATATAACCCATCCTCTTCACAAGCAGTAACATCTGTTGGTACCCCGAGGCCATACAGTCAATTATTTCGAAGCACTTTCCCATGCTGCGATCTTAATACAGGAGCTCCCCAAATTATAAATATCCCAAGTTATACATATTCAAACTAACAAACAACGTATATAGGAATCAGATCAACAAACTAATACACTAACAAACAGTGTACATAAGAATTAGATCAACAAACTAATACACTAACAAACAACATACATAGGAATCAGATCAACAAACTAACATATTACCCAACTATGTGCACAGGAATCAGCTCAACAAATTTACATTATTTCTATATTAAAAACTCAGTTTGCAGGATGAAAGGTCAAAAATATAGACCTTTTGTGTATAACATTGTGCAGGCATGAACTCGCACATTCACTCTCTTTCACATATACACTCACATACTCTCTAACACATACTTTCGCTCTCTCATACACACTCACACACTCTCACTCTTTCCATCCAACAATGCATAAAATCAAAATTTAAAAACTGTGATATAATGCAAAACTTAATATATAAATGTGAAAGAAAATGCACTACATCAGAGAATTTGAAAACAATATAACTGGAGAATTTATTTTACAAATAAAATACAGAAGAAAATGAATATAAGAAATTGATAGTAGGCATATTAAGGATTATAAAAAAATGAGAAAGAGAAAGAGAGAGAAAGAGAAAGAAAAAGAAAGAGAAATAGAGAAACAGAGAGAAAAAAAAGAAAAAGAGAGATTAGATTTTGCCACCAAAGTGGCTAGTTTAATTGTGTACCCCATATCCATTCTGTGGACGGTAGTGCACGAGCATATGGATACACAAAAGGCCTAGGAACTAGGCCCCAAAAGGGTTAACAGGTGTACATTTGGATTTGTATCTACAGTTCACTTATCTGTTACAAGCAAATTTAAGAAATTTGCTTAGTATATCTGGTATCTTATTGTCATTAATAGGATATCTTGACATGTCATGTAGGTTATTATACTGTCTATCTCTGTATTCTTCAATAAGTGGACAATTAAGCATATAGTGTTCAAGACAGTGACCATATGCCTGACCACATAATTTACATTTAGTTTGATCATCATCTGTGTCTCTCCCAAACTGCCAGAAGTACTTGTAGCCAAGCTTAAGCCTGGCAGCTACAACATCAGTTAATCTGTTCACATTGCAAGTTGCTCCATAAACATACTTATCTACTTTCATGTTATCATAGTGGGTTATAGATCTACTCAGACTTCTAACTGCATTCTTATAACAATCATTTTCATTATTTACTTAATTCCTAATATTATTCCTAATGCTAGACACAGATATACCAAAGTTATATTCTACATTCTGAGAGAGATGGCAAAAGCACTTAAAAGTTCTTCACTTACTGAGGGGGGAGAAGCCTGTGCCACACTTGACATGTCTAGGCCAGTTACAGAGTCGGCGGTTGAGGTCAAACACCAGGCCGTGCGGACACACAAATTTGTGTGCTAGCAACGAGGAGTCACACATGTAGTATACAGAGCAATCATTGTCTTTACGGAAGAAACCTGGCCCTGGGAATAATAGAGGATAGATTACATCCAGACTACTGACCTGAGCAGAAAGGTCAATAGGCCACCTTAATTAAGCTGCTGGTGCTTGTTGGAGATAAGCTTCAAACAAAGGTATCTCTGAACTGAATCATTAAAAAATAACATAAAAGGAAATTTGGGGAAAGCCATTGAGAAATGATAATTTGATTAGGTGTAATTACCTGGGCACTGGAAAGTAGGTGCAGGTGTAGCATCTGTAGGCGTCATGGAGGAGGGCGCAGGTGTATCATCTTCGTGGTCATCGCTATTGTTGGCAGTGGTTGAAGTGACTGTGGTTATGGAGACATTGTTTTCTGATGCTGCTGATGTGGTGAGTGCTGGTTAGTGGCCACCACTTTCCAGGCTCCTTATCCAGCCAAGAGAAAATATGCATGTGTGTGTGTGTACATACATGCATGTGTGTGTGTGTGTGTGTGTGTGGGTGTGGGTGTGTGTGTGTGTATGTGCATGCATATACATGCATGTGCGTGCATGTGTGTGCATGCGTGCATGTGTGTGCATGCGTGCATGTGTGTGTGTGTGTGTGTGTGTGTGTGTGTGTGTGTGTGTGTGTGTGTGTGTGTGTGTGTGTGTGTGTGCGTGCATGTGTGTGTGTGTGCATGCGTGTGTGTGTGCATGCGTGTGTGGTGTGTGTGCGTGTGTGTGTGTGTGTGCATGCGTGTGTGTGTGTGTGTGCATGCGTGTGTGTGTGTGTGCATGCGTGTGTGTGTGTGTGCATGCGTGTGTGTGTGTGTGCATGCGTGTGTGTGTGTGTGCATGCGTGTGTGTGTGTGGTGCATCGTGTGTGTGTGTGCATGCGTGTGTGTGTGTGCATGCGTGTGTGTGTGTGTGTGTGTGTGTGTGTGTGTGTGTTGTGTGTGTGTGTGGTGTGTGTGGTGTTGTGTGTGTGTGTGTTGTACCTGTGTGTTCACCTAATTTTGGTTGCAGGGGTCGAGACACATCTCCTGGCCCTGCCTCTTCATTGATCGCTACTAAATCCTCTCTCTCTCTGCTTCCAGAGCTTTGTCATACCTCATCTTAAAGCTATGTATGGTTCCTGCCTCCACTACATCACTTGTTAGGCTATTCCACTTCCTGACAACTCTATGACTGAAGAAATACTTCCTAACATCCCTATGACTCATGTGAGTCCTCAGCTTCCAATTGTGACCCCTTGTTTCTGTGTCCCTTCTCTGGAACAACCTGTCTCTGTCTACCTTATCTATTCCACACAGTATTTTGTATGTTGCTATCATGTCTCCCCTGACTCGCCTGTCCTCCAATGTCGTCAGTCCGATTTCCCTCAACCTTTCTTCGTAGGACATACCCCTGAGCTCTGGAACTAGCCTTGTTGCAAACCTTTGCACTTTCTCTAATTTCTTGACATGTTTGACCAGGTGTGGGGTCCAAACTGGAGCTGCATACTCCAGTATGGGCCTGACGTACACAGTGTACATTTTCTTGAACGATTCCTTGTATATATTTTTTGGTAGAATTACCAACAATATGTAAAGTAAAAGGACACAAGTGCAACTAATATGACATTTTACTGTGGCAACGTTTCGCTCTCCAGAAGCTTTGTCAAGCCGTTACCGCTTGTCAAGCCATAACAGCTTGACAAAGCTCCTGGAGAGCGAAACTTTGCCACAAAAAAATGTCACATTACTAGTTGCACTTGTGTCCTTTTACTTTAAAATGATTCCTTACTGAGGCATCGGAACACTTTTCCTCAGGTTTGTCAGGCGCCCATATGCTGCAGCAATTATCTGATTAATGTGTGCTTCTGGAGATGTGCTCAGTATTATACTCACCCCAAGATCTTTCTCCTTGAGTGAGGTTTGCAGTCTTTGGCCATCTAGCCTATGCTCTGCCTGTAGTTTTCTTTGCCCATTCTTTTCCATTCACTAGTGCACTTAGTTTTTGCCTCCCTACACCTTTGGGGAAACCAAGGGTTCATTCTGGTCTTCCCATTATTTCTGTTGCCCTTGGGAACAAACCTTTCCTCGGCCTCCTTGCACATGTGTGCATGTGCATATGTGTACAATCATGTGCACGAACATGTGATTACTACACCTACTTGTGTACTTATATATTTAACTGTGATTACCCACAAGAGCAGAGCTATGGTCATAGTGCCCCGTCTTCAATGTTTACCTATCGTACAGTTTATTTTAATAATTTCTGTGTAAATAAAATGGATGACTTCTTGTTATGCCAGAGGATGGGTTTAGGATATCTTCCTTGTCAATTTTTTTTTTTAACACACTGGTCATCTCCCACCAAGGCAGGACGATCCAAAGATGAAGAAATAATAATAATAATAATAATAATAATAATAATAATAATAATATAATAATATAATAATAATAATAATAATAATAATAATAATAATAATAATAATAATAATAATAATAATACCATAATAATCTTTATTTCTACAAGTTACACTAATTATACCTACACTCTTATAAGGGTGTGAAGCATGGGTGGTGAATGTTGCAACATGGAGAAGGCTGGAGACAGTGGAGATGTCATGTCTGAGGGCAATGTGTGGTGTGAATATAAGGCAGAGAATTCATAGTTTGGAAATTAGGAGGAGGTGCGGGATTACCAAAACTATTGTGCAGAGGGCTGAGGAGGGGTTGTTGAGATGGTTTGGACATGTAAAGAGACTGGAACAAAATAGAATGACTTCGAAAGTGTATAAATCTGTAGTGGAGGGAAGACGGGGTAGGGGTCAGCCGAGGAAAGGTTGGAGGGACGGGGTAAAGCAAGCACGCATGAGCGTATCTGATAGGAATATGTGGAGACAAATCGTTTTTAGGACTTGACATGCTGTTGGAGTGTGAGCAAAGCAACATTTATGTAGGGATTCAGGGAAACCGGCAGGCTGGACTTGAGTCCTGGAGATGGGAAGTACAGTGTCTGCACTCTGAAGGAGAGGTGTTAATGTTGCAGTTTTATAACTGCAGTGTAAGCACACCTCTGGCAAGACAGTGATGGAGTGAGAGATGAGAGGTTTTCTTTTTCAGGCCACCCTGCCTTGGTGGGAAATGGCTGATGTGTTAATAAAAAAATAATAATTCTACAAGTACATGTAAAAGGTATACAGGCCTAGCTGGGACTTTACAAGTATTACATTATTATTATTATTATTAACCCATCATTATTCTTTATTATTAGTCTCATAAAATTATCGCATTCCAATAAAGAAATCGTTTATTCTTTTTTATTTACTGTATTATTAGAGTATCAATATTAATTTATATTAAATTATCAGTAATATCATTACCTTGTCAATGTCTTCCTAATTATCATTATAAACATGCATTAAACCTGTATCAGCCATATAGCTACCTTCCTAAACAGAATGTTTTTTTTTAATTTCATGTATTATTATTGTGTGGTGGTTAGAGCACTGGCCTGCTAATCTTAGGCTTGGCATGGGTCTGAATCTTGTCCATTCTATAAGTTCTTTACAACTGTGTTGTTATAATACTGTGAGTCTTTATGTTTTTGTTCCATGTATGTTGTCTCTGCTTTAGATAAGGTGTCCATGTGAAATGTGAGTGTTGTTGGTGGTAGTAGTTTGGAAGTGGTGGTGGCTGTGGTAACAATGGTGGTGGTAGTAGTTTGGTAGTGGTAGTGATGGTGGTGGCAGTGGTGGTGGTGGTGGCAGTAGTAGTAGTGGCTGGTAGTGGTGGCTGGTAGTGGTGGTTGGTGGTGGTGGTGACATGGTATATACTGTAGGTGAGGCTGGTAAGGCTGTGTTAAAATGGCTATGCCTGGGAGGTTAAGCAAATTGGACCATGTTGTCAGAGGTCATGACAAGTTGGATGTGTCTGGGAGGCCACAAAAATGTGACCATTTTGGAGAGAACAAAAGTAATAGGTTTAGATTTATAAGATACCATTTTGTACATAATACAAGAAAAGAAGTAACAGGATGAAAAGTAATGCCTGTCACTAAAAGACAAAGATAAAAATCACTGAAAACTAAAAAATATCATTACAAATAACATTGTTAGTACATAGATATACGTACAGTAAATATAATGTTTTAGATGATCTGCATGCTCGGAGAAAGATGTGGAGGGGATGGGATACACCTGGACACTAGATATATCAATGAGGTGTAAAACAGGGAAGCAACCAAGTGAAAGCACAGCAGTAAGCAATAAAACCTTCCTCCCTCCCATTCCCCCCAAAAACAACTTAAAACTACAAGTATCCATACTAGACGGTTGAGTTGTTGTCTTTTGTGTGGTGGTGGTGGTGGTGGTGGTGGTTGTGACATCAGAAGGTCCTAGAGGCCATGTGAGAATGGTGCTGGGTGAAACAGCTTTGAGGCCCAAGTTGTGACGGATGGCAGAGAGTAGTGGCCACCGACGACCACACACGCCCTTGTAGTCATCAAGGTCGATGGCCCACACCATGGCTCCACCCAGACCCTCAGATTTCACCAGCTCCATCTAGACAGATGTATTTAGTGAAGAATGGGCATACCTCAACATTAACTGTTTCTGATTTTTTCTTAAAATAATTAGGTGCTCCTCAACATACAATGGCGTTATGTTCCAATGAACCCACAGTAAGTTGAAAATATCATACGTCGAATATGATATGATAAATAAGTAAAATAATAACTACTGACACTGGACAAGTAAATAAACAAATAATTACTGTAACTAACTAAATACCAATACTGTATTGAAAAGTAAATAAATGAATACAGGTCAGCCATCGCTGATCCAACAATCACCAATCCAGTTCCATCACTAATCCGGCACTAATTTCGGCTAGCATCATAGGTATGACACAGTTTCCTGTGATTTACTGTGGCAGGTCCAGCACCCTACAGGTCCCAATGATGATGGAATTGTGATGGTTGACCTTTACAGGTTTATCCTATCAATAAATGAACAGTAGTGTACAGTGCTGAATGTGCATCACTATCTTGAAATATCATAAGCTGAACCATCGTAGAGCAAGGAGAATCTGTACAATGAAGTATTTGTTTTTATTTACTCAAGAAATTACTGAAAAAAATTACATAGTTGATATGAATGCAGAACCTAAAATGAAAGTTCACAATAAGCTGAAGTTGACAAGATGAAAAAAAATTACAAACTGCTTACCTATGGCAAAAACTGGCAGCAATGAAAGCAAGACAAAACCAACTATGAACAACAAAGCACAAAGGAGATATGTGTAACTAGCTAATGTTGCAAGCCCACATCTCTTACATAATTTTAATGTCGCAAACCCACAATAATTTTAAAAAAATTAATGTCGCAAGCCCACAGCTCTTTAAATAATTTTAATGTCGCAAGTCCACAGCTTTTTAAATAATTTTAATGTCGCAAGCCCACAGCTCTTTAAAGAATTTTATTTTATATTTATGATGCAGGCTCAGACACCTGAAGATACCACAAGCATTTGTTACATAGGAGTGGTATTTGCAGGGATCACACCCATGGATGCTAGTTGACTGTACCTTTTTAGCAATGTAGTCGATGTCATCATAGCCGACCCACTGGTCATCTAAGTTCATGAAGGGTCCTCCAGCAGCATCCCGGTCCAGCTCCCACTCTTCCTGCTGCTGCATCTGGCACACCTCATAGTAAGCTAGGAAGCCTCGCTCCTTGGTGTACTGACCCTCCTTCCCGCTTGTACGTGCCTGCACATAACACTTAACGTTAACAACAGCAGCAACACATTTTAAGGGTACTCTTAACCCTTAAACTGTCCAAACGTAGATCTATGTTTTTTCAACATTTGAAAGTATGTAAAAAAAGTAGATCTTTTTTTTTTTTTCATTTGAAAACGTGTAAAAAAACTTTGATCTACGTTTTTTTGTTTTTGTTATATCTGAAAATATGTAAAAAATGTAGATCTACTTTTGGAGCACTACGCATGTGAACGTAGATCAGCTTGGACAGTTTAAGGGTTAAGTTAGGCTCATACCAATATTTACAGGTACCAAATTACAGTAGGACCACTGTAACCGTGGGTCCGGTTTCTGTGGTTTCAGTTATCCACAGTTTACCCTAGCCCAAAAATAACCCTTAATTTTTCTTAATAATTACACCAAAGTGTAAAAGTTGTGATGGTGACAGTTTTTCAAAGCCTAAGAGAAGTTGTGAAGTGCTTCCCATCAGCGAAAAAGTGTTAATTCTCGACTTAGTGTGCATAATTTATCAATTAAACTTTATCATAGGTATGTATGTAAACAAAAAATTATGACTCACAAAATCGTAATAACACGATTGCAAACAAACCACTGTACAGGTGGGGCTTGAACTCGCAACAAATAAGTCATAAAACTCCAGGCCAGGATGTAAACCACTGGGCCAGCTGGCTATAATAAGATTCATCCAACTAGGTATATTTATACACCATAGAAAGATTAGCAGGGGTCCCCTGTGACCACAAATACATTTGTGGTCACAGTGGGACCCATGCTGATCCCAAAAATGAAAGAAACACTTGCACCATCATTCAACACTTTCACCATCATTCACACATAATCACTGTCTTTGCAGAGGCACTCAGATATGACAGTTCAGATGTCACTCCAAACAGCCAATATCCCAAACCCCTCCAGAACTCAAGTCCGGCTAACTTAAGATGACTAATTTTGATTGGGAAACTGAAATAAATGTAGAGCTCTTGTAAGTGTGACTTCCCCAGGCATATTGCATACATTTCATTCAAATATTTCCCATACTAGTTCCCCTTTCTTTTTTTTTTTTTTTTGCCTTCATCTCATTTTCAATTTTCACTCTGCATCCTTGCCTGCAGGATGGTTATGAGATGCATAATAAAACTATCAACCTAATATATTTCCCCTGCATCTTCCATTTGTATCTTCTGTATATTCATTTTGAATTGATACCTTATATTGTAACCTCCAGTTAAAGTTTCACACTGTATCTTGCAGTCATATTTTCACCCTATACCTCATATTGCACATTCACATCTTCATATTTGCATCTTATGTGCACTTTGCATGGTCAACTATCTCAACACTTGCACCTGCACTTCCATTTTGGATAATACCATCTAATTTTCTAAATGATTATCTATTTGCAGTGAAGGGAGCACAGCTATGCTCATGGTGTTCCATTATCATAAAGTTTTGAAGATTTCAGTGATTGAAGCACTCACTACCTCCTCAAGTAACTCATTCCATTAATTTGCAATGCTCCATGCATTAGTACCTTCTAATTTTCAGCTTTAATCTATATATGTGTACAATAAGTAAATAGAGAGAGTGCATTTTTCTCATACTTAACAAATGAAGGCTTGAGACTCCAGCCCATTTTGTGCTGAATGACTTGCATGGGATTACTGCCTCACAATAAAAATAAACTTCCCATGCCTTCATGGATTCGATAGCATCCTTACCCTGGCACCTGGCTGCTTATTGTTGGTATTGGAAAGAGTGAAGGACCTCCCATAGAAGGGGATGCCCATTATCAGCTTCTCCTTTGGCGCACCCTTCAGCACCCAGTATGCTATGCCATCTCTGGTGTTGAGAGTCTTGAAAGTCCAGTCGTCGGAAGGGCGGTCGGTGAGTGGGGCATGGTGATCTGCCTTGCCATCCCAGGGACCCCTTAGATCATATGTCATGATGTTGATAAAGTCAAGGCTCTTAGCAATACGCTCCACATCATAGCCTTCATTCACGCGGAACCTGGCAGAGATATGAGGGGTTAAGTGTTATTGCCAACAGACGGATTGTGCAATACTGTAGTATAAAGTTGAATTTATTTTACTATGTTTGCACCTCAATTTATATGTACATAGCAATAACTGACAAACTGTCACATTATCAACTGTAGGACAAGGATGGAAACTTCAAAGAAATATTGTATAACTTTAGTAGTCAGCTTTATCAGCTTGCTAAGCATGATGCTGTTTGAAATAAAAGGAAAATTCTGTATTTTATGGAGAAAAATCAGAATTAGCTGGTAAAAATTTACTGTGAAGAGGCTCCAGGTGTCAGAGAAAAAAACACTATATCTGATATTGACAGATATAATTGAACATAAGAAAGATAAAGAGTACAATACATCCTGATAAATTAGACACTTGTGCAACAATTTGTTTCACAAGTGTCTAATTTATCAACTTGTCGGTTCTGTGAACAATTATCCACACAACACATCCTGAGACAAGAGATACAGGAATGATAAAAAATTTTCACAAATTTTTCAAGATATATTTTGTAATGGCAAGGAGGGAAAGGTTAGAGAGAGAGTGAAAGAGTGAAAGAGTGAAAAGAGAGAGAGAGAGAGAAGAGAGAGAGAGAGAGAGAAGAGAGAGAGAGAGAGAGAGAGAGAGAGAGAGAGAGAGAGAGAGAGAGAGAAGAGAGAGAAGAGAGAAAAGAGAGAAAGAGAGAAAGAGAGAAAGAGAGTAAAGAGAGAAAGAGAGAAAAGAGAAAGAAGAGAAAGAAGAGAAAAGAGAGAAAGAAGAAAGAAGAGAAAGAAAGAGAGAGAGAAAAGAGAGAAAGAGAGAAAAGAGAGAGAAAGAGAGAGAGAGAGAAAAGAGAGAGAAGAGAGAGAAAGAGAGAAAGAGAGAAAGAGAGAGAAAGAGAGAAAGAGAGAGAAAGAGAGAGAGAGAGAAAGAGAGAAAGAGAGAAAGAGAAGAGAGAAGAGAGAGAGAGAGAGAGAAAGAGAGAGAAGAGAGAGAGAAGAGAGAGAGAAGAGAGAGAGAAGAGAAGAGAGAGAGAGAGAAGAGAGAGAGAGAGAGAGAGAGAAGAGAGTGAGAGAGAGAGAGAAGAGGAAGATAGAGAGAGAGAGAGAGAGAGAAGAGAGATAACAGACTGTGAAGATAAGTTTTGAAGAGCCCAAGAAATGCAGATACCTGGCAGGGGAGACTGCAGCAGAAGAGATTCCAGCCTAGGTTTGAAGCAACTATAACTATCCACCAGGTCAGCAAAGTTTATTCTTGTCTGCCAGTTGCCTGCCGGTCACTGGCTCCTGTAATAAGTAAGTTTATTTAGGCACAGGTACATTAAGTACAACTATTATGCATAGTATAAATTACCTAGGATAAACCAGAAAAGTCAGGCATGTTAACATGACTTATTTCCATCGGAGTCCTTGGTTGAGTAATAACAATAGTTTAGAAAAATACTGTACAATGTTCTTCAGAAACCTCATCTAAACTCAAAACTCATGTTGTCACAAGAAATTCAAATTGCAATTTCACAAAATATAGGAGTCTAAATAGGTGTTCAATGAAAACTTAACTTTATTTTGAGATTTAATATTTTTCTTTTATCAACACCAAACTAGACAAATAATATTAAAATAATACAAATATTTTATAATCGGTATAACTCTTGCAAGTCTTGTTACATCCAGTCTAACCTGGCTCAAGATAATGTATGGTAATGTAAGTTAGACAATTCTATTTAATCCAGACTCACCTGGGTATTCCCAGTCAAGGTCAAGGCCATCAAAACCATGCTCCTTGATGAAGGCAGTGACTGACTGGATAAACTTTTCCCTGTTTGCTTTAGTTTTGGCCATCCTAGAGTACTTTTTGCCTCCTTCGTTCCAGCCACCAATAGCAATCATCACCTTCAATGCCGGATTCTTTGCCTTCAGTCCCACTGCTGCCTTGTATGATCCTGGGAATGAACAGGAGAGGTGAGGAACAGATAGGAAATTAAGATGATGAGAGTAATGAGGAAACAGATACACTACCTGTTTGACACTCATCTATTAACCCTATGACTGTCGCGGCCGTATATATACGTCTTACGAGGTACCGTGTTTGACGTATATATACTCATAAATTCTAGCGGCTTCAAATCAAGCAGGAGAAAGCTGGTAGGCCCACATGTGAGAGAATGGGTCTGTGTGGTCAGTGTGCACCATATAAAAAAAAACCTGGAGCATGCAGTGCATAATGAGAAAAAAAAACTCCGACCGTTTTTTTTAATTAAAATGCCGACTTTGTGGTCTATTTTCGTATAGTATTTATGGTTGTATTCTCGTTTTCTTGGTCTCACTTGATAGAATGGAAAACATATTATAGAAATAGAGGTGATTTTGATTGATTTTACTATAAAAAGAACCTAGAAATGGAGCTCAAATTAGGGGAAATGTTTGATTTTTGCCAATGTTCAAAAGTAAACAAATGATGCCATTGTCCAATAAATGTCCAACTAGCCATTCTAATATGCAGTCATGAATGGGTTGATGTTATTTATACAATTATTACAGTATTGCAGTAGTCTGCATAATATTAAGTCTTCTATTTTTTGTTTGAATAAAAATTCAAAATAGAAAGCAAGAGTAATATCAGAGGGGCCTGGAGACATGACTGATGAGCAAAGAAAATGTTATTTTTGAGCCAGGAATGTCTGCATTGTTCATTCTGGACCTTATTTTGAAATTGTCATATTTTTTAGTTTTCATGAAATTGGCCAAATTGCAAATTTCTGACCACATTATTAGGTAGTTGAAATCGGTAAATGGGCAGTTTCTTGTACTCAGTCGATAGAAAAAAATGGAGTTCTAAAGAAATAGCTATGAGTTTGGGCGACTGGAACAATGGAATTAGCCGAAAATAGGGCTCAAAGTGGGCGAAATCGCCAATTTGTGAACAGCGCCGAGGTCGCTAACTTCGCGAGAGCATAATTCCGTCAATTTTCCATCAAATTTCGTTTTTTTGGTGTCATTACAATCGGGAAAAGATTCTCTATCATTTCATAAGAAAAAATAATTTTTTTTTTTTTAAATTTTGCGACACCAGGAGACACCTCAGGATTGGGGGTTGCGACAGTCAAAGGGTTAATAAGACAGTGATAGCGTGAATGATGGTGAAAGTGTTCCTTTTTCGGTCACCCTGCCTCAGTGGGAGATGGCCGGTGCATTAAAAAAATTAATTGGTTGTAACATAAATGAAGGAATTCAGGGACAACCCATTAGCAAGACTTAGAGTCCGAGAAATCGAAGATACAGCATCTGCACTCTGAAAGAGGGGTGGGAATGTTGCAGATTGGAGGGTCATATGAACTGTGATGTTGGCACACTTCTGGCATCACAGCTATTGAATGAGTGATGGTAAATTAACTTCCTTTTTCTGGGGGGTCATCCTACCTCAGTAGGTGATTGGTGTATTAAAAAAAATTAATTAGCTGCAATGTAGCTTTAAATGTGTAATGATTTAGTAATTTCTATCACAGGCTCCATTTTTAAAGAACAGTGAACATTAGTATTTCATAGAAAACAAAAGATTGGCCCAAGATTTACCTATAAATTATTTATTTGGCATTCACTCAACCAGCACTGGGCTTACCTTGCACTACATCCAGCTTCTCATCCAATGAAATGATGGTGTGCTCATTTTCCTTCAGACCGGCAAAGGAATAAATGAGATGGGTGCAAGAGAACGGGTCAATATCTGCCACTGAGAAGTCGAAGGGCTCAGGTCTGTACACTGACCAGCCTCCGTAGTAACATATCAGCTTGTAGTCTGGGTGAGGAAGAAAGAGATGCTCTGAGTATATTTTAGCCTAAACTTCCTCGTTAAATTGCAGTAATTAGCAAGGATAGTTTTGCCAAACAAGCCAAGAATATACAGTAAGACCCCCATATCCAATATCCAAAGGGGTTACATTCCAAGACCTATCGCGGTTACCCAAAACTGCAAATAGTAGCGAACCCTACATTTAAAAGTAATTTTTTGTTTACATACATACCTATGATAAAGATTAATTGATGAATTATGCAAAGTAAGTTGAGAATTAGCACTTTTTCACTGATGGGAAGCACTTCAAGACTTCCTTAAGCTTTAACAAACTGTCAGCATCACTACTTTTGCACTTTGTTGTCATTATTAAGTAATTAAAGATTATTTTTGGGCCAGAGTAAACCACGGATAACCGAAATCACGGAAACCAAACTCGCAGATACAGCAGTCCTACTGTATGCTGTATTAACTTTGCATCAACTCTTTAACTATTGATTTGATCATTACAATATTAATATTTTCATAGATGCTAAAAAACACAAGTATAATTTACGCTAATCTAACACAGATTACATAGAATTAAATTACATTATATTAAGCAATGTTAAACTGTTAAAATTTATTTAGGTTAGGTTATTTCAGTACAATATAACCTTAAAACAGAGAGGGAGAGACACACACATTGTGTGTGTGTGTGTGTGTGTGTGTGTGTGTGTGTGTGTGTGTGTGTGTGTGTGTGTGTGTGTGTGTGTGTGTGTGTGTGTGTGTGTGTGTGTGTGTGTGTGTACTCACCTATTTGTACTCACCTATTTGTGGTTGCAGGGGTCGAGTCACAGCTCCTGGCCCTGCCTCTTCGCTGATTGCTACTAGGTTCTCTCTCTCCCTGCCCCATGAGCTCTATCATACCTCGCCTTAAAACTATGTATGGTTCCTGCCTCCACTACATCACTTTCTAGGCTATTCCATGGCCTGACTACTCTATGACTGAAGAAATACTTCCTAACATCCCTTTGATTCATCTGAGTCTTCAACTTCCAATTGTGACCTCTTGTGTCTGTGTCCCATCTCTGGAACATCCCGTCTTTGTCCACCTCGTCTATTCCGCGCAGTATTTTATATGTCGCTATCATGTCTCCCCTGACCCTCCTGTCCTCCAGTGTCGTCAGGCCGATTTCCCTCAACCTTTCTTCATAGGACAATCCCCGTAGCTCTGGGACTAGTCTTGTTGCAAACCTTTGCACTTTCTCTAATTTCTTGACGTGCTTGACTAGGTGTGGATTCCAAACTGGTGCTGCATACTCCAGTATGGGCCTGACGTAGATGGTATACAGAGTCTTAAACGAATCCTTACTGAGGTATCGGAACGCTATCCGTAGGTTTGCCAGGCGCCCGTATGCTGCAGCAGTTATCTGACTGATGTGCGCCTCAGGAGATATGCTCGGTGTTATACTCACCCCCAGATCTTTTTCCTTGAGTGAGGTTTGCAGTCTTTGGCCATCTAAACAATATTGTGTCTGCGGTCTTCTTTGCTCTTCCCCAATCTTTATGACTTTGCATTTGGCAGGGTTAAATTCAAGGAGCCAGTTGCTGGACCAGGCTTGTAGCCTGTCCAGGTCTCTTTGTAGTCCTGCCTGATCCTCGTCCGATTTGATTCTTCTAATTAACTTCACATCATCTGCAAACAAGGACACTTCTGAGTCTATCCCTTCCATTATGTCGTTCACATATACCAAGAACAGCACAGGTCCTAGGACTGACCCCTGTGGAACCCCGCTTGTCACAGGCGCCCACTCTGACATCTTGTCGCGTACCATGACTCGTTGTTGCCTCCCTGTCAGATATTCTCTGATCCATTGCAGTGCCTTTCCTGTTATGTGTGCCTCGTCCTCTAGCTTTTGCAGTAACCTCTTGTGAGGAACTGTGTCGAAGGCCTTCTTGCAGTCCAAAAATATGCAGTCGATCCACCCCTCTCTCTCTTGTCTTACTTCTGTCACCTTGTCATAAAACTCTAGTAGGTTTGTGACACAGGATTTTCCTTCCCTGAAACCGTGCTGGTTGTCAATTATACACTTGTGTGTGTGTGTGTGTGTGTGTGTGTGTGTGTGTGTGTGTGTGTGTGTGTGTGTGTTTGTGTTTGTGTGTGTGTGTGTGTTGTGTGTGTGTGTGTGTGTGTGTGGTGTGTGTGTTGTGTGTTTGTGGTTTGTTTTGTGTGTGTGTGTGTGTGTGTGTGTGTGTGTGTGTGTGTGTGTGTGTGTGTGTGTGTGTGGAAGAATGAAAAGAGAGAAGAATGAAAGAGAGAAGAATGAAAGAGAGGAGAATGAAAGAGAGGAGAATGAAAGAGAGAAGAATGAGAGAAGAATGAAAGAGAGAAGAATGAAAGAGAAGAATGAAAAAGAGAAGAATGAAAGAGAGAAGAATGAAAGAGAGAAGAATGAAAGAGAGAAGAATGAAAGAGAAGAATGAAAGAGAGAAGAATGAAAGAGAGAAGAGGGAAAGAGAGAAGAGGGGAGAGAGAAGAGGGAGAGAGAGAAGAGGGAGAGAGAGGAGAGAGAAAGAGAGAGGAGAGAAAGAGAGAGGAGAGAAAGAGAGAGGAGAGAAAGAGAGAGGAGAGAAAGAGAGAGGAGAGAAAGAGAGGAGAGAGAAAGAGAGAGGAGAGAGAAAGAGAGAGGAGAGAGAAAGAGAGAAAGAGAGAGGAGAGAGAAAGAGCAAGAGTGAGAGAGCAAGCAAATATTCATCACTAATTAACTAAACACTGCAAGGTGCCCATAAGCTGCTGTGCCCCTCACCTCCACTCTGGCTCCTGATGGTGGCCTTATAATTTTCCAGTTCTCCACCAGCAATATAACCAAATTCATTCTGGCTGTGAGAGCGAGTGTCTTCACCCACAACTATCGCATCTTCAGGAAGCTCCCTCAGCCCCAACAGTACCTCAGACCATGGCCCAAATGGACGACTATTTAGCTGTGGAGGAAAGACAAGCACCAGGTTGGCTGTGGTAAATGTGTTGTCCATTAGAAATACATCAGAATACAGCATGTATGGCATATAATATTGTTTAGGAGTCAGCGAGTCATGCAAAAAATCAACATGGAAATAAGATACAGTGGACCCCCGAGTTTCGTGATTAATCCGTTCCAGAGAGCCTGCCGAAAGTCGAAATTCACGAAACTCGAAACCATTTTCCTCATAAGAAATAATGGAAATAAAATTAATCCGTTCCAGACACCCAAAAATATTAAAATAAAATATTTTTTTTAAATTAAATAAAGATTTATATACTGAAATCAATGAGAAATCAAGTACATGCATATAAAAAATAATAATAACATTACACTTACCTTTACTGAAGACTTCTGGGTGGATGGAAGATGGGAGGAGGGGATAGGAGGAAGGTGTACACTATTGTTTGGAAGGAGAATCTCCTTCCATTAGGACTTTAGGTAGCAAGTCCTTATCTGGGGTTACTTCCCTTCTTCTTTTAATGCCACTGGGAACAACTTGAGAGTCACTGGACCCCTGTCGCACAAAATATCTGTCCAGAGAGGTTTTTTTCTGGTGTTTCTTTTAAGATTTTCCTGAAGTGGGACACAACACTGTCATTGTACATGTTGCAGATATGGCTTGTTTCAGCTTGGTCAGGGTGATACTTTTCAACAAAACTTTGCAACTCATTCCACTTGGCACAAATCTCCTTAGTCTTTGAAGAAGGCACCTCATCCACTCCCTCTTCCTCCTCCTCTGAAGCAAGTTCCTCGGCTGTGGTCTGATGCTGTTCCAGTTGAAGCTCTTGCAGTTCGTCAGTGGTTAGCTCTTCCCTGTGGTCCTCCACCAACTCTTCCACATCCCCGTCACTCACCTCCAACCCCATGGACTTGCCAAATGCCACAACACCTTCCACAACAGGCAGAGGGTTGGCAGGGACAGGGTCTGCCTCAAACCCTTCAAAATCCCTCTGGATCGTGTTCCTCACTTTATTTACCAAAGGGCTTGCACTAGCTTTCCTTGGGTCCATGATGACTTATTTAGCAGTTGCAAGCACAAAAAACAATGGATTATTATGAAATGTATTGTATGAACCTGCGGGGTGATGGTCACGTGTTGGTAAACAATGGCACACTGAGCGTGAATGGCGTGGGAGACTGGCTTGGTGTGCGCGGTGATGGACGGACGGGTACCGGACGGTCGCTGAAACACGAGTCTAATCACGAAACTCGAGGCCAAATTTTGCCAAAAAAACTCGCCGAAAGTCGAATTTCACGAAAGTCGAGGCTGCCGAAACTCGAGGGTCCACTGTACTTTGCCTGCCTTTTTATTGGGTTATCCTGGGTCATTTAAACATATGTTTCTATGTATGATAGCTGTACTTATGTGGGCCTGTACCTAAAAAAAAACTTACACAAATTGAAGGACCCAAAATTTGGAACCTACTTGAAACAACAAAAAAAAATCTTTATCTTCCAATAGTTTCCAAAACAATGTCAAAAACACCTCTTAACACTGTAATAGACTGTAATTAAAATGTCATGATCTTAAATATTTAATGTATTAATTGTATCTTACACTGTTAGCTTATTCAACTGCTGCCTCCAATGTAATCAAAACTTATTTTATTATATGCAAACTATTTATGCAAAAATGTCACAGCTATAATTCCATGCTATAATAATATTAATAATAATAATATTTCTACAAGTATGTGTACAAGATATACAGACCATAGCTGACATCAATGACATAGTACTATATAGAAAGCCCCTTGTTATGCAGAGCATTTTGGGCAAATTAGGTAAACTCTGTCCCAGGATGCGACCCACACCAGTCCGCTAACACCCAGGTACATATATATATGTACCTATTTTACTGCTAGGTGAACAGGGACAGCAAGTATCTTAAGGAAACAAGTCCAAATGTTTCCACCCATATGGGGATTGAAGCAGGGACCTCAGCGTGTGAGCTGAGTGTGCTACCAACTGAGCTACAGGACACATTCAAATTCAAATTTTTATTTCTTTGCAAAGTTTACAATGTGTGACTGACATGTTATAAGGAGTCTATTTCCATGCATAGTTTACAATGTGTAATTACAATACTGATCTGCTAAGTGCAAAGAAAGCCACTATCATGCCGAGGCATTTCAGGCAGACTAAAACATTTTTTTTTTTTTTTTTTTTTTTTTTTTAACAAGTCAGGTGTCTCCCACCAAAGCAGGGTGACCCACAAAGAAAGAAAATCCCCAAAAAAGACTAAAAGACTAAACATGTTTGCATTAATTACAGTAAAAGTCTCTCATAGTGCACACCTTTGTAGTAAATTTTATTTGTTAGTAGAACCCTAGTTCTCCATGGGGAAGTGGAACAGAATTCTTCCTCCGTAAGCCATGCGTGTTGTAAGAGGCGACTAAAATGCCGGGAGCAAGGGGCTAGTAACCCCTTCTGTATATATTACTAAATGTAAAAGGAGAAACTTTCGTTTTTCCTTTTTGGCCACCCTGCCTCGGTGGGATACGGTCGGTGTGTTGAAAGAAAAGAAAGAAAGAACCCTACTTACATTTCTTTTCAACAAATAGAGTATGCACCATAAAAGCTTTAAAAAGGTGGCCGAGGCATTAAAAAGTTTCTATTCAGAGGCTTCTATAATCTATAATACAAAAGATTCGTGAATACCTGTCCCAGGATAAAAAGCAAACAATGGCTAGAATTTTTGGCAGTGTAAAATTCTTTCTTGTTACATTTTAACATACAATAATTTAAACTTATAATATTTTTATTAAATTTATAATAGTCACTAGTAATAGTATTAACCATTGCCACTTTCTCTGAAAGAAATGCCAAGTCCATATTCTCTGAAATGATTCGATGACATACTGCTTGAAACACCAGCTTTACCTCTGGGTAAATTTATATAGTAAATTTTTATTGAAGTTCTGGGTATATAACATATACTTCTAGATCAGCTAGAATGTCATACATGATGTCAAAAACTTCACTGATTTTGACAAAGTATGAAATTTTAAATTTTTTTTGCCTTTCTTGGAGGTGTCATGACTGTAACCCTAATTTTCCCATTACAAAATTAAATAAGCTATAGATTTCAGGAAAGTAACATTGATATTATGTATACATTGTGAAGGCTGTACTAGTTTTAGTCTGGCTAAAATACTTCACATAACAAGGGACTTATAAAGGAACATACAAAGAGGTATAATTCCAGAGATGATGCAATACCACATCATTTTTGGAAATATTTGACTGTGACCTATGCTGACCTGCAACAAAAGAGACCACAACTTGGACTGACCTGTGCTGGGAGAGGGCTGGCCTCCTCTGGGTCTTGGCTCTGAATGAAGAGTGGTGGTGATTCTACAGCAGACCTGATGCCTGCCCATCCGTACTTTCCATCAACGTTGATATTATCTGATACCTCCACCACCACTGCCTCCAACATCTGCAGAAAGCACAAGTTAAGAAGAATCAAAGTTAATACCATGGCTAGAACAATCTGCAATTAACCCATGATTTAGAAAAGAAATTTTAGAAACATTATGGTTAGTTTAGTATCTTTTTTTATGCACCCCATTCCTATTCTTAGCCAGTAGTCAAAAAATTACAGAGCCAATTATGGCAAGTTAGTCTCACATTTTATTATATGCCCTATATCTATCCTTGGGGCACTAGTCATCCCCAAACATCTTGCAGGCAATAGTTACCCCAGACCCATCTTATGGGCACCAACCAAAAGTTTACCGACACATAATGGGTACAGCTATTAGGCCCAAACATTCAGTTAGCTAAGCAAGTTACAGTAGTATTGAACTATGTACAAGAATAATTAATTCAGTCATCTTTAAGTAGTGGAGGAGTGAATAAGAATGAGAGATAGTAACATAAAGAGGCAAGAAAGTGGTAGTAAAGTAGTAGAGAGCTCAGGAGAGAGAGGTAATAGAGAGGGTAAGAGTGATATAGTCAGAGAATTATTATTGTAAAGCAGGAGAGGAATGAGCCTTACCTCCTGATGAAGATAAAATGCATAAATAAAGCAGATGTAACATATAAGAAGAAACAAGTTAACATTCATGAAAGCATGTGATGGACACAATTTTTTTTTATACGGTGGCTATCTTCCACCGAGGCTGGGTGATCCAAAACTAAAAAAACAAAAGTTTTTCTTTATACATGTAGTAAATTATACAGGAGAAGGGGTTACTAGCCCCTTTCTCCTGGCATTTTAAATCACCTAAAATGACAGGCATAGCTTACAGAGGAAGGATTCTTTTCCACATGGACACAAATCACACTGAAATATGTTTACTACATAAACCAATTAGGTCAAACGGCTAAGTAAGTGTACAAACAGGCATTAAAATTTAAACATGTATAAGAAACAAAAGATGTTGCTAATCTTATGGCATTCATTATTAAAGCAAGAGGAAAAACCATTTATATTTTCTCTTAGATTTACCTCATTAGATATACTACATTGTGCCCCTGATATAGTTCTAATATACCTTTAGTATCTCCATGGGGAAGTGGAACAGAATTCTTCCTCCGTAAGCCATGCGTGTCGTAAGAGGCGACTGAAATGCCGGGAGCAAGGGGCTAGTAACCCCTTCTCCTGTATATATTACTAAATTTGAAAGGAGAAACTTCCGTTTTTCCTTTTGGGCCACCCCACCTCGGTGGGATACGGCTGGTACGTTGAAAGAAGAAAGAATACCTTTAGTAGTTTTCGAGAGTATGCCTACCTCTGCAACCTAGCCCTAGGCCCAGCTTGTCTGGTGCTTGCCTGGTTGTCCAGGCTGTTGCTGCTGCTGGTGCACATTAATAAATGGGGCCTTGTAACTCCAGCCTGGGGTTATGAGGCCATCATACAGAGCTATACTGATTATACTCCCTGACTTCATCCTTTGGGAATATAGTAAGTATGCTTTTGTATGATGGTCTTGTATCCCTAGGCTGGGACTGGAGTGCCTGATTCATTGCACCACTGGCTGCCATCACCTGAATACCTCCAGTAAGTCTGAAATTTTCTTTGTATATTTTCATTACAAATTCAAACAAAATGAGTTCCTCTCAAGGATCACAGGATGAGAGAAGGACTTACATCATCTCTGATGCCTCCATGGTACGGTGTCTGGAAATGAGGGTAAGACTCTACAACCCCTCGTGAGAATGGCACCTGATCTTCCTCCTCACTTCCGTGGGCCATGTACTGCTCAGCTTCAACAGGCACGAACTCAACAGCATCACGGAGAGGAACGTGGTCATTATCCTCCATGTCTGCATACTGTAATAGTGAAAGTGAGTAAAGGATTAACTTTCAGTGGAAATATCTGTATTCTGAGATTTAGAAGTCTGCATATTAATGTCTGTCTGCATTGAGGGATTTATACAGAGTACCTAACATAAAGAGGGGTCCCTATCTTATAAAGAGTACCTACCTTAAGGGAAGTCCTTACCTTATAAAGGAGGGGTCACTATCTTATGGAAGGGTCTCTGCCCAATTTTAGGCTCCTACCTGATGGCAGATTCCTTCATTGTGAAGGGCCTATATCCTAACAGAATTGGAGCAATGTGGGGAGAGGGAAACATTTTTATTAATATCATGTATATTCACACAAAAGCATAAACCCAAATGGGCCATAAAAGATCTGTTCTGACAAAAAAGTGAAAACACACACCTGAGAGATGTATGGGGTACCAATGAGTGTGCTGTGGGTATGTGGGTGAGACTCAATGTGCCCTCTGTGGAATCCTTGAGTCTCATATGGTGCAACATATGGTGATGCATAGGGGATGTTGGAAGGAACAGAATAGTCTACAGGGTTCTGTCCTCTGTTGCGAATGTGGACTTCAGAGGGTGATATGCTGAAAAAAGATGGAAAAATCAGATGCACAGGGAATACTGATATAAAAAGACAAATTTTACAAGTTATTCACATATATCTACCAAACTAAATATATTTTTGCACACATCTACACTTTCTCGCCAACTAAAATGATCAAAGAAAACATGTGCCCTTCCTCATATCCCTGCTCTCTTTCTTGAAGGGTACATACACAATATGACCTCAAAGCTAACCATGAAATCACACCCCCATCCTGATGTAAGTTTCCAAAGCTGATGTTCGGATACCCAGTTTTCATGTACATCTTCGCTGATGTTAAGCTCACACTCAGTAACACATTAAATGAAAATAAAAATTAACTTTATATTTCCAAACAGAACTTACAATAAGTACAAAAAAGGTACAAGCTACTTGAAAAGCCACCAATTATGGCAGTAATTATGTGTGACCAAAGAGTCACATGTCCCTGCTGGATATTCATGCTTTCACCTCTCAATAAATCTTTCCAACTATCTTGCCATCTCCTCTTCTTATATTCACTAGTCTATATTCACCTACATATTCTCATCATGGAGAATTCCTTGATGCTGATGAAAGGATCTAGATCCTGGGAGCTGCTGCTATGCTTCCATTTCCTTGATCAAATTCAATTAGCCTTACTCACTGCTTCAGGTACTCAAGACTCCTACTGATTTAGCATTTTCCCAGGACCATAATAATTAATCAGCCTATAGTACAGAAGGACAGTATTTTTTTTTTTTTTTTTTTTCAACAAACCGGCCGTATCCCACCGAGGCAGGGTGGCCCAAAAAGAAAAACAAAAGTTTCTCTTTTTTAAATTTAGTAATTTATACAGGAGAAGGGGTTACTAGCCCCTTGCTCCTGGCATTTTAGTCGCCTCTTACAACACGCATGGCTTACGGAGGAAGAATTCTGTTCCACTTCCCCATGGAGATAAGAGGAATTAAACAAGAACTAGAAAGAAAATAGCAGAAAACCCAGAGGGGTATGTGTGTATATATACGCTTGTACATGTATGTGTAGTGTGACCTAAGTGTAAGTAGAAGTAGCAAGACGTACCTGAAATCTTGCATGTTTATGAGACAGAAAAAAGGACACCAGCAATCCTACCATCATGTAAAACAATTACAGGCTTTCGTTTTACACTCACTTGGCAGGACGGTAGTACCTCCCTGGGTGGTTGAAGGACAGTATTTGTAGCCAAAAAATATATTGTAGACAGTATGCAATTAGGTAACCTTGCCAAAAATAGTCTTGCAAAAATTAGCATAATACATATACTGCATTTGTGCTGATTACTATCAAAGTGCCTTGATGCTGATGATCTAAGGAACTTGTCTTATCCTTCCTTGATATCAAACCTGAATGCTTCACATTTCCTAGGCAATAAAGACCATCATGAGTTTAGCACTTCTCCTGATTCAGATATAAAAATTAACTACATAACAAAGGCCCCAAAACATCCTGTGCACACTTCTTGACTGTTAAAAAATATAAATAAGATCACCAGGAAAACAATGAACTAATTAGGAGTAAGCAGTCATTTATAAATGATTAGCTACCAGACTGCCTTAATCTTATCCAAAAATATTGTGCTAAATAATGTTCAATACTGACATAAACAATAAAAAAAAAACATAACAATTTGTTAAATGAAGTGGTATAAAAAAGTTTGTTAAGTTAACTGACTTATAATAATCATAAAATGCAGCTTAATGTTATTTTATATAGTTATAACTATAATGACTTTACATCTAATCGTCTCCATACTTTCAACATGGCCAAACCTTCTCAACAACCTTCTCAGGATATATACAGTATTATTATTATTATTAAAATCAAGGGGGAAGCGCTAAACCCGGAGGATTATACAGCGCCTGGGGGGGATGTGGAAGGCATTCAGGCTTAATTCGGGGAACTGGAGCACAGATCCAATTCCATAAATCAAGAGCCCCTCACCAACATCAAGGAACCTTCCTTGAGGGGAGGATATATACAGTATATGCAATAATCACAAATGAGCAATAAAAGATGCAAAATAAGCACATCATTAGGAGCTTGCCATGTTGAAGAAATAGAGTACAACTATCATTCAACTTCCCATGTAGTTATTTTGCACATACAGTTTATATTAAACAAATAATAAATTGATGATGAAACCTGCAGCTCACCTGTAGCTGTAGAGAAGATGCTTATAGCTTGGCATCTGACTCTGAATGAAATCTGGAGGATGTACATAGATTGGGACAGTCTGGATGTGGCTTGGGTAGGGAATTTGTGGTTGCAAAGACAAAGCATCCACCACTGCTGCTAACACCACCAGGACCAACATCTTCACCTGGCCCACCTCCTCCTGCTGGAAATTAATTACATTTGGTAAGGTGGGAAAAACAATCATGATTTCGTAGAATGTAGCATCACACTCTTAAGTATCTGTAGTAAAGACAGTATTTAGGTAGCTTTAAAAATAGGGTCTATAATACTACTACTCAAAAGAAGCGCTAAACCCATTAGTCATACAGTGATGTATTTTTTTTTGTGTGAACTAAACCTGTCATGGACTTTAAACTTATTATTATTATTATTATTATTATTATTATTATTATTATTATTATTATATTCAAACATGCTCTAAACTCCTATGGGCACAATGGAAATAAATAATGTCTGACTTTATTAAGATATAAGATCACTGTATAAGTTTAAATTTATGTATATGACCTAAATAAAAACTCACACCTAAGATACAATCTTCGGCTCACATTATTATTATTATTATAATCAAGGGGGAAGCGCTAAACCTGGAGGATTATACAGCGCCTGCGGGGGGGGGATGTGGAAGGCATTCAGGCTTAATTCGGGGAACTGGAGCACAGATCCAATTCCCTAAATCAAGAGCCCCTCACCAACATCAAGGAACCTTCCTTGAGGGGTTCGGCTCACAACCAGAAACAACAAGGTTCAATCCTGGAGAGGGTGTAGTCGCTGTACATGTTTCCGTTTGCTTGCAGTTCATTTTCTTAATAACAGACATCATTTCACTGCTGCAAAAACAGTCAAATGATTTATGAAGATGCCCAGTGACAGCCGGGATTCCTGTTTGTATGGCAAACTTTTATCTTGCATTTCACTTATTTCCGTTGTGGTATCCCCTCAAGGAAGGTTCCTTGATGTTGGTGAGGGGCTTTAGGGAATTGGATCTGTGCTCCAGTTCCCCGAATTAAGCCTGAATGCCTTCCACATCCCCCCCCCCCCCAGGCGCTGTATAATAATCCGTTGTGATATATGTTACAATAGGCTATTTTTTTATGGATAAAGAACAACTTTACTTAACCAAACCTAGCCTAGCCTTCTGTAGTCTACTCTAGCCTTAATTAAGTCTTGTCTGGTCTAGTCTAGCCCTGTCTTGTCTGGTCTAGTCTAGCCCTGTCTTGTCTAGCCTCGTCTAGCCTAGCCTCATCTAGACTAGTATGGTCTAAATAATGAAAATCGAGAACTTTGCGTGCGACCAGCAGTTATAGCCTGGTTGATAAGGTCCTGATCCACTACGAGGCCTGGTCACGGGGCGGACCGCGGGGGCGTTGACCCCCGAAACCTTCTCCAGGTACACCCAATGAAAATAAGTCACATTCTCTTTTTTGGATTATCCTAGTTAATTTACACATACGTTACTATGATAATTTGTGGAACTGTATGTATGTGTACCTAAATAAACATACACTACTTGAAAAATTCACATAGCATTTGTGTGGACGGGTTGTCTACTTATCACTAAATAGGTACCCGGGAGTTAGGCGACTATTTTGGGTGTTATTCTGGGATATAATAATATTGGTGATGTGCTAGTAAATGGAAATAAGCTATACAACTCAGCTGTCTTCTGACACCTGATTGACACTCCTGGTCACACACATAAAACACATTCCCCATAGTCTTCCTGGGGTACCCAGGACCTCAAAAACACCTGCCCTGCATGCCAAAGGAAGACACAGACTTAAATATTGCCAAATGGTCACTTCAGTGTTTAGTACCAGGACCTGTACAGAACGTGTTCTGTACGCTGTTCCTCTTTCCCTCGTGAGGGCCTCTCGATTCAAGGAATTTCATTTGTCCAAGTCCCACTGTTATTAATATGATTTGTACATCTTTACTCAACGGCACAACATGACTTACCACACTTATCACAACATTAGTCCCTATCACACCACCCACACACCATCATTTATCCACAAACACACTATTACCTGGAGTTTACTGGAGAGAGTTCTGGGGTCAACGCCCCCGTGGCACCAGTCTTGACCAACCCTCCTGTGAATCAGAAGCTAATCAACAGGCTGTTGCTGCTGGTCCTGCACGCAAACCACGTACGAGCCACACCGGCTGGTCAGGAACGACCTTTAGGTGCTTTTTCCAGTGCCAGCTTGAAGACTGCAGGTCAGTTGGTAATCCCCCTTATTATGCTGGGAGGCAGTTGAACAGTTCAGGGCCCTTGAACTTATCTCTAGGAAGGTTTTAACGTGTCAGTGACACCCCTGCTTTTCCATTGGGGGATGTTGCATCGTTGCCAAGTCTTTTGCTTTCGTAGTGAGTGATAACGTGTGCAAGTTCGTAATACGGCCTACTAGGATTTTAGGTGAATAACATCAGTACCCCCTTTTTTGTTCTTGATATGAAGCCAAGGAATTCTATCTTTATTGCGAACATCTTGATTCAAGGATTTCATTTTGCCTAACCCACTCTGTTATTAAATTTTTTTGTACACTTTACCCCGTAATCAAGCATGACTACACAATATTCCACCAATAGCAATTTCCAAAAAACACACCACATCTATCACACACCACTTTACCTGGAGTTTACCTGGAGAGAGTTCTGGGGTCAACGCCCTACTGGCCCAGTCCTTTAGGAGCCTCCGACAGATCAACCTGATCAACCAGGCTGTTTGCTGCTGCTCCGCAAACCAACGTACGAGGGCCAGCCCGCGGTTTAGGAAAACCCACTTTAAAGGGGCTTGTCCAGTGCCAGCTTGAAGACTGCCAGGGTCTGTTGGTAATCCCCCTTATGTAAAGCTTGGGGGGCAGTTGAACACTCGGGCCCCTGACACTTATTGTATGGTCCTTAACGTGCTAGTGACACCCCTGCTTTCATTGGGGGTGTTGCATCGTCCCGCCAAGTCTTTTGCTTTGTAGTGAGGATTTTCGTGTGCAAGTTTTGGTACTACTCCCTCTAGGATTTTCTAGGTGTATATAATCATGTATCTCTCCCGCCTGCGTTCCAGGGAATACAGGTTTAGGAACCTCAAGCGCTCCCAGTAATTGAGGTGTTTTATCTCCGTTATGCGTGCCGTGAAGGTTCTCTGTACATTTTCTAGGTCAGCAATTTCACCTCCTTGAAAGGTGCTGTTAGTGTGCAGCAATATTCCAGCCTAGATAGAACAAGTGACCTGAAGAGTGTCATCATGGGCTTGGCCCCCTAGTTTTGAAGGTTCTCATATCCATCCTGTCATTTTTCTAGCAGATGCGATTGATACAATGTTATGGTCCTTGAAGGTGAGATCCTCCGACATGATCACTCCCAGGTCTTTGACGTTGGTGTTTCGCTCTATTTTGTGGCCAGAATTTGTTTTGTACTCTGATGAAGATTTAATTTCCTCGTGTTTACCATATCTGAGTAATTGAAATTTCTCATCGTTGAACTTCATATTGTTTTCTGCAGCCCACTGAAAGATTCGGTTGATGTCCGCGCCTGGAGCCTTGCAGTGTCTGCATTGGAAGACACTGTCATGCAGATTCGGGTGTCATCTGCAAAGAAAGACACGGTGCTGTGGCTGACATCCTTGTCTATGTCGGATATGAGGATGAGGAACAAGATGGGAGCGAATACTGTGCCTTGTGGAACAGAGCTTTTCACCGTGGCTGCCTCGGACTTTACTCTGTTGACTACTACTCTCTGTGTTCTGTTAGTGAGGAAATTATAGATCCATCGACCGACTTTTCCTGTTATTCCTTTAGCACGCATTTTGTGCGCTATTACGCCATGGTCACACTTGTCGAAGGCTTTTGCAAAGTCTGTATATATTACATCTGCATTCTTTTTGTCTTCTAGTGCATCTAGGACATTGTCGTAGTGATCCAATAGTTGAGACAGACAGGAGCGACCTGTTCTAAACCCATGTTGCCCTGGGTTGTGTAACTGATGGGTTTCTAGATGGGTGGTGATCTTGCTTCTTAGGACCCTTTCAAAGATTTTTTATGATATGGGATGTTAGTGCTATTGGTCTGTAGTTCTTTGCTGTTGCTTTACTGCCCCCTTTGTGGAGTGGGGCTATGTCTGTTGTTTTTAGTAACTGTGGGACGACCCCCGTGCCATGCTCCCTCTCCATAGGATGGAAAAGGCTCGTGATAGGGGCTTCTTGCAGTTCTTGATGAACACGGAGTTCCATGAGTCTGGCCCTGGGGCAGAGTGCATGGGCATGTCATTTATCGCCTGTTCGAAGTCATTTGGCGTCAGGATAACATCGGATAGGCTTGTGTTAACCAAATTTTGTGGCTCTCTCATAAAAAATTCATTTTGATCTTCGACTCTCAGTCTGGTTAGCGGCTTGCTAAAAACTGAGTCATATTGGGACTTGAGTAGCTCACTCATTTCCTTGCTGTCATCTGTGTAGGACCCATCTTGTTTAAGTAGGGGCCCAATACTGGACGTTGTTCTCGACTTTGATTTGGCATAGGAGAATAAATACTTTGGGTTTCTTTCGATTTCATTTACGGCTTTTAGTTCTTCCCGTGATTCCTGACTCCTATAAGATTCCTTTAGCTTAAGTTCGATGCTTGCTATTTCTCTGACCAGTGTCTCCCTACGCATTTCAGATATATTGACCTCTTTTAGCCGCTCTGTTATTCTTTTCCGTCGCCTGTAAAGGGAGCGCCTGTCTCTTTCTATTTTACATCTACTCCTCCTTTTTCTTAGAGGAATAAGCCTTGTGCATACATCGAGTGCCACCAAGTTAATCTGTTCTAGGCATAAGTTGGGGTCTGTGTTGCTTAGTATATCTTCCCAGCTTATATCGGTTAGGACTTGGTTTACTTGGTCCCACTTTATGTTTTTGTTATTGAAGTTGAATTTAGTGAATGCTCCCTCGTGACTAGTCTCATTATGTCGGTCTGGGGCTCCGCGCATACATGTCTGAACCTCAATTATGTTGTGATCTGAGTAAATTGTTTTTGATATGGTGACATTTCTTATCAGATCATCATTGCACACACACTATCACTCCATCACACACACACTATCACTCCATCACACACACACTATCACTCCATCACACACTATCACTCAAATCACACACACACACTA